ATGGATGAGCCTCCAGATTCAGTTCTACCAGGCCATTTTCCATTCTGAGGAGGCTCTCCAATGAGCCATCACCACTACCTCGCACTGTACAGGTATCATCTGATCACTGGTAACTACCAGGATGGAAGGCCTGGGACCCATAGCAAAAACTCTTCCTCTGCAAGAGGCACCATTTGGCGCCCTAGGTCTACAGATGCATTGTATGTGCACATGATGTCCAGCTCTTTGTGATACTGGCAATGGATACCCAAATTTTCAGGTGTTCCCACAGGGTCAGTGTCAGGAAAATATCCTACAAGATGAAGAGGGTTTCCCCAGATACCATGTGCAGCATGTAGCATTGGTTCAGCTGTTTTTTGGGTCATCTAGCATCAATGTTGGGCCAGGAAACAGTCAAGTATACCCCAGTGTCAACTGTCTCGAGGTAAGGCTAGTCACTGACCCAGCCCTGCGTGACTAGGCCAGGATGGCCCTTTTCCATGATAAGAGTGGGTGGCGGAGGGGTCTTAATATGTATGCCGGCATCTTCCCTTTTTCCCAGACACCAGCTCGTTTCCTGATGATTGGGCCACCCCTCCTGTCAACCTCTATTGTTTCTTGGTCACCATTTGAACCTTCTTGTCAGTTCCTGTGTGTCTCTCATAGGTTGTCTCATTTCCTGTGCCGGTCATCATCTCTTGCCTCCCTCCTGAAGGGTCGGTTAACCCGGACGTGGCTTGGCTCCCCACAGCTCCAACATGCTGACTGTTTTTGGTCTCTTCACCTGGTTGTGGGCAACTGGCTCCCCCCCTAAAATGTCCTGGAATTCGTTTTTTGGAGCCTGGCTGCTAGGAGCACAACCTGTAGTGCAAGAGCCTGCCTGAGAGCATTGTTCAGCGATTGCTTTCCTCCCAGCCTCCTTCCTCATATGGTCTTTGGGTAGTGCATGGTTAGTGTGGTGGACCAACTGTTTAATGACTGCAGCAAATTCTTCCAAGGATTATCTGACACCCTGGGTCCTCATTTTTAGCTGACTGTTATATGCAGCAGCCAGGTGCTGGTCTCCAAAGGGGTCCTCCAGGGTCTCAAGGGTTTCTTCATGGGTTACTCCTTTTGGGACTCAGTGTAGCTTGTTCCAATCTTGTAGCCGTGATGTTCCTTCTGGCTCAGCCCTGGAAGGCAATGACAAAGCATGTGGATTTCTCCGGGCGCATACACCAGTTGTGCAGTGCTGTGGTTTTGAACTGGGGCCAGAGCACAGCCCATGATATCCTGTTGAACACTGGTGGCTTAGCCACACCCACACCAGTTCCTGTTCCTTTTCTGTACTTGGCCTGGGCCTCGCCTTCAGGTATCTTGGCCTCCAAAATCCGCTCTGTGATATCTATTAAAGCCTTCGTCATGTATGTCTGGCCCTGGATGATGAAGCCGAGCTCTTTGTGAAGGTGATCCCTTGTGTCTGTTATGGTTTTCAGGAGGCTCTTTGTCTGTGTATCAACGATGTCCTTATGGTCTCTACATCCACCTGTTTTGCCAATCTTCTCAGTCAGTTCATTGTGCAAACCCTGGGTCTTTTAATCAACACAAAACAGAATGTCTCCAACCTGGTGTTCGATGGTCTCCCCTAATTGGACTGAATGGAACATACTGTGGCCTCCATCTTCTCTTGATGTATGTCCATCTTAGCTTTCATTTCTTCTTGAGTGGACACTGTCCTGGCCTGGTGGATAGCCATATGGGAGATGAGAAAACCTCGAAGCACCTCGAACTTCTCATAGTGAGAGTCCATCTTGACTTTGGGCCTGGCTTTCAACCTTGCCGTAATTTCTTCTTGTTTGATTTCCACCTCAGCTTTCATTTTGGTCATCATTAGTTCTTGGCCAGCCAAGAGGCTGTCCAGTATTTACTCCATCATTTGTTCCATGTTTGTAATATGATGACACAACTATCTATTGCAGGCTTCAGTCCAATAAGTTAATCCAAGCAATCATTCAATCCACTCCCGCTTCTCACACCAGATGTCACGTATATAAGTGATCGCAGACGGTGTTTGGATTGGTAACTGGATTCACTGAACACTTAGATCATAACTACAAGTAACTATAATGCTATCACTAATTCACACTCTCTATAATTCACTACAGCACATGCAAAGTCTTCTGAGTCTGCTGAATCTTCACCGGATGTCAACTGGTAACCGTTTCAGATGCCATAGCTTCCTCAGCTTCCATGTTCATGTCCTTACTGGCCGATAACTGTTTCACAGCTAACTCCTACTCTTCTAACTGCCATCTCAAGACACTCTCATAATTGCAACTGCATGTTATATAGCCTCAGAATGGACCGCATGGAAAATACCGCCTCCAATGGTTCCTCCATTGTTGTGTGCGCTTGTTGTGACCATTACCTAGCAATGGCTGTTGTTTACAGGGCCATTACTTAGCAATTGTTGTTATGTAGCTGTGGTCACTGCCTAGCAGTGGGTATACATGCCACAATATTATGGTAATGAAATCAAGGATGGAATCGAACTAGAACCTATCATTTCGTCATGTGTACCATCCTACACGTGACAATATGAAAGAAACAGCATATGAAGGTATGGACTAGATTAATCTGGTACAGGTTACGGATCAGTGTCAGGTAGTTGTCAACAGAGCAATATCCTTTAAGGTTACATAAAAGGCATGGAGTTTCCTGGCCAACTGAGCACCTATTAGCTTCTCACAGACCCTGTTAAATACACAGTGTGTCCTGGTTCTGTTGGGACTGTGTTCATTAAAAATAAAAGATGTGAATTATTTGCAAAATTTCACTCCTTTTTTATTCAAAATAGTCTCATTCTGAATCAATACAGCTGGAATTGACTGAAAATTTTTGGAAAATCCTTTTGTGGAATTGCATTTAAAACTGTGGTAGATTCCCTTTGGATGTCATGGATGGTGTCATGATGGTCTCCTTTCATCGCCAACTTCATTTTTTGGGAACAACCAGAAATCTGCTGGAACCAAATCTGGTGAATACGGAGGATGATCATGGACTGTGATCCATTTTCTGGCCAAAAAATGACGCATGATCTTCGATTTGTGGGGTTGGGCATTGTTGTGGAGGAGCGACCAGGAACCTTGCTCTCGATATTCAGGTCGAATTTGAAGAATTCTCGCTCACAAACGATTGAAGACTCCAAGCTAATAATCAGAATTTACTGTTTGACCTTCTGGCAGAAATTACTTGTGAATGATTCCTTTGGAATCGAAAAAAACGGTTAATAGTGTCTTTACTCGACTCTTTTGCATGAACACTTTCTTTAGTTTCAGATTCTTTGGGCTCAACTACGCTGTACTCTGTCACTTTGTGAGAGGTTCATACTGAAAACACCATGTCTTGTCACCAGTAACAATCAATTTTGTATCACTTCGGGCCAACCATAACATGTCTTTGCAGTGTTCAACTCTGGCATGTTTTTCATCACCTGACAGCACGTGCGGTACAAACTGCACACAGAACTTCCATTTGCCCAAATCCTTGGACAAAATTTGATGGACAGTACTTTTTCGTATTCCTAAAAGCTCCTCAATGAGTCTTGCAGAAACACATCTGTCTTATGCAAGGATTTCGGTCACTTTTTTCACATTCTCTTCAGTGCGACTTGTTCTTGGCTTTGATGCACTTGGAACGTCTTCAATGTCCTCCCTGCCATCACGAAATACAGCATACCATTGAAAAATGTTCGAGCGACTCAAACAATCACTACCGTACACACTTTTCATCATTTCGTACGCGTCTCCAGATGTTTTGACTAACTTCAAACAAAATTTGATGTTGGCTCTCTGTCCAACTGCCATTTTCTGACGAGCATCAGAATAGTACTGTTACATTCAAGGTCAGAACACATGATGCAGCGATGCTTGCGCTTTGAAATTATAGACAGCCACAGCTGAAACTTCAAGACTCTTAATGCCACAACTTGCCAACAGATAGCACTGCAGGGTAAAATTTAAAAAAAAAAAGAATCCTTTCAGATCCTGGACACACCGTGTCGTTAGAATTATATAAAATTAGCAGACCAAAATACCATAAATAAGAGATGCAATCAAATAATTTCCCAACTGGCTGCAAGATGTCATTACTGCTGCTATAAACTTCTACCAGACGCTTGTTTCAGAGCATGTGGGATGAAAATATGAACACGTGTCAGACTGATGCCAAATTCAAGCGCCGCTTGCTGAGGGAGGAGAAGAGGATCAGGTCAGCGTGTGCCAGGGCCTTCAAAGGAGGCCTCAAAGAGAATTTCTTCCAGTGATAATCACTGGTGATGAGAAATGGGTTTATGGGTACAATCCAGAAACCAAGCAATAGACAGTTCAATGGAAGCGCCCATTATCTCCATGCCCAAAAAAGGAAAGGCAAGTTTGCTCAAATGTGAAGGGTATGCTTAATGTTCACACATTCAGAAAGAACTAATTGTAAACACACATTATTACAGTGACATCTTCAGTGCAATCGACCTGAAAAGCATTAGTGGGATTGGTTTCTGCATCATGGCGATATGTGTGTTCTGTGCATGAACTTCCACCTTAAAATGACATGACTGTCATCCCACACCCTCCTTATGCACCAGATTTAGAGCCATGTTATTTCTGTCTTCAAGATGGTGTTAGAGGGAAGGAAATTTAGATGATGTCACCACACTTCAAGCAAAGCTGGAGGATGCACTTGGCACTTTTCAAACAACTAACTTCATGAAATTCTTAAAATGGTGGTAAGATTGCTGGGTTTGCTGCATAAAGTCCCAAGGAGACTACTTTGAAGGGGACTAAATAGGTTAGAAGGTAAGTGAAATGGAAAAACAAATTCAGTCCTGAGACTATTTGATTGCACCTCATATGAAAAGCTACTATTTATTTGTTTTTATTTTGCAAAATAGGTTAATGCCAAGAGCCACCATTTAATGCAAAACATCTGAGTTTATGAAACCCAATGAAACTTGTATGACCTTACATATCAAGATATCATCTCACCTGCACCACACTGCCATACTGCACAACTGAGCCCAGAAGCTTTTTGTTTTCACTGTCATTTTGTTTTTTCTCTATCTCTGCTGCATGCTGCAAAAAAGATCAAGTCTCAGGTTAAACAGTTCCGTCCATTGTGATTAGTATTTTTTTTTCTTATTTCAATCCCTTACCTGTTTCGGTCTTTACAGGCCATCCCCAGAGGGACATCAATACAATCAGAAGCCACTATTACAATACGTGTTTGAATGCCAAGATATATACACATTGCTGCCAAACTACAATGGGTATGAAATCTAATGTTTTAACAACTAAAGCGGCTCCCTTAATATGCTAAAATATTTACAATTAGTTTGTTAACATTTTTTGTTGGAAATGGTAAGGACACGAACCAACCTGGTTTACGATTTCCAACAAAATATGTTAACAAACTAATTGTAAATATTTTAGCATATTAAGGGAGCCGCTTTAGTTGTTAAAACATTAGATTTCATACTCACTGTACTTTGTCAGCAATGTATGTATATATCTTGGCATTCAAACACATTGTAATAGTGGCTTCCGATTGTATTGATGTCCCTCTGGGGATGGTCTGTAAAGATCGAAACAGGTAAGGGATTGAAATAAGAAAAGAAAAATTACTAGTCACACTGGACGGAACTGTTTAACCTCTTATGATATTGTTAGTGTGATGGACCAGAATGAAATAAATCAAAGATTCACAAATTCAGTAACAGGTTACATAACTCAAGAGCGGAGCCTGAGTGAGTATAAAGAATGGCAAAACTGAAAAGAAACACTATAAGAGTCCTAAGGTTAGGCAATGGGTGGAGTAAGATGATAGAGAGAAATGCTGCCAAATGTTCCTCCACTAAATACTTTACTTTTTGATACAATTCTATTTCATTTCTTATTGCACCAGTAACTTATTTATGTGCTCTAATTCCAGCTTGCAAGCATAATTCATTTTTAATCTGATATAACCCCATAAAAAAAGTCCAATGGTATCATGTCTTGTGCTGCTCACACAATTGGTCCACCTCATCCTATCCACCTTCTTTCTTAGCTCTGTAACCTAACCGACAAAATGTGCAGGCATTCCACCATGTTGTATCCAAGTTCATCTTCCTGTATGAAGAGGAACATTTTTTAAATAAAGCTGCAAATCATTCTCTAAAAAATCATAAAAATAAGTTGTCAATGTCCCTTGATAAAAAGCAGACCACAAAGATGAGTGTCTATTCGTCTATTCTTCCACACATGTTTACTGCAATTCTGTATTGAAAATTATGTTCTGCTACCTCATGTGAATTGTCATTAAACCAAAGTGTGAATTTCTTATATTGGTGGTATCATCATGATGAAATTGGGCTCATCTGTGAAAAAGAAAAGAAATTCGTAAGTTGCAGCTGTCCCTTCAGCCATGTGTAAAATTGAACTTGGTTGGTATAATTTTCTAGTAAACATTTCTGCACATTCTGGAAGTGGTAGGGGTAAAGACCACTTTTGTGCAAAGTCCTCCACATGTGTGACTGTGGAATACCAATCTCCATATAAATTCTACATATACTTGTATTTGGACTAAGCTGTATATCACTGAGTATACTGGCCTCCTCCAAAACCAATCCTACTCTTCTTCTGTATTTTCCCATGGGAGGACCCACTCTCTCTTAAAGTGCTCTGCACACTGTAACTCAGAGAAGTGTTGATAATGTGCTGCTACAGTAGCTGTAATATTTCTATTACAAATTAATTAAATAAGTTTCCTGGGGAGTGAAGCTGACAACATTACTGCCATTACAACCCTATGGGCCTTCACGGCCTGTTACAGGGATAGCTTTACTTTTACTTTACAAAACCCTTATATGTAATGCATATGGGCATATTTGTCAGGCGTGAATGTGAAAGGCAACTGACTAACACTTTTTTAGAGTGAAAAATAACTGCAGAACAATTGGTTTCGCACTCCCATTAATCATCTTGGTACCCCTTTCCACCCAAACAGGCACTCTTGGTCCTGGAGGCTTGTGAGGGTTTCATTTACTACAGGACCAAACTACCTAAGCCAAGGTGTGAGGCATCGTGCTGAGAGCTGTATGGCACTGGGTTGGTAATTAGCCAGTGTCTTGAACAATCCCCTCAGGGCACCAGGCAGCACCTGGTTGTATTTATGCCTTCCACCCATCTGGGGCACTGAGGGTGGCAACCTTTTAAATCCCCAAAACTTGTGGGACCAAAATGAAAGGAACCAAAAAATAATAATAAAAAAAGGTCATAAGGACCTTAAACTGAAGAGGGACCCCCCTCCAAGGGGATCCCTATGATAAATGCTTCAGCAGGGGGCTGGAAGCTCTGGTGAACCACTAATGGCCCCAGGTGCAGCCAGAGAACCAGTTGTTGAATTTTCAGCCAAAGGCAGGGACGAACCAGTGTTTCAGAACCTACCTGAGGTAAAACCAGAAACTCTATTGGGAGTCAGTAGTGCTGACATACCACTACAGGGGGCTAGTGCCTCTAGCACACCTGCAGTAGGAGAAGGATTGGGATACCTAGTTGCTGGAGTAGGTGGACTCTGTCTAGTGAAAAAAGCCTTGTCTGGATGTGCTAGATGGAAGTTGAAAAATGCAAGAGCTTTGGCAAGCATAGCAGGAACTGGGGGCAGTCAGCAACCAGGAAATGCACGCTTGTCCAGGCAGGGAGAAACCCCCACTGCTACCTTCAAGAGGCCAAGGTCGGAGGGCAGTACCCCTACAGAATTGACCATAACTCTGAAAAGGCTCAGGAACTCTAAGGGACCAGGGACTTACGAGGAGGCTCTGGCCAACATAAAGGTAGCTATCTTAAAGGAAACTTATCTTGAGGATAAGCTTACTAAAGATGACCAGAATTCCATTCTGGAAGCACTGGGGGAGGTGTTACGTAGGACTCCAAAGGGAGAACTACCACACCTGAAATCCTACAGACTAGTGGGAGGTGCACTTATTTATGCATGTGCCAACCAACAATCTGATCAATGGCTTACAAAAACCACTGACAACCACAGGATGGATCAGGGGCCAGGCTGAAGGCTACTGATGCCAGGAACCTGCCAAAGCATGTTAAAGTGGCTCTCTGGATTAGGGACAAAGTTTCCCAGAATCGGGAAGAGCTGCTGAAATGGACTGCAGACCTCAATCAAGGACATAGGAAGAACTGGAGAGTACTAGATAAGCAATCTGAGACAAAAGGTCAGAGATTTATATTATTCATAGACCGGGACTCTTATACTACTATAAAGAGGACCGGTTATAAAATATTCACAGGACTCTCACAGGGGACTGTTAAGGTGCTGAATGATCCTGAGGATCAGCGCCAGGCAGAACCTGTCAGATACAGTATCATCCAACTTGGTCTCTGAGGGGGAGGGGGATGATGTACCCACTCCCTCGGTTGACCGGAAGAGAATATCTCATGAGAAGGAGACAATCTCTCCACTCGTCAACCTGACCTTACCAGATCAGGGACCTCCCTCGGAGAAAACCAGGTCTGATAAAGTAAAAGGGGCTGTGGAAGAAGGTATTTAGGAGGACACCTTTCCCAGCATTACAGAATGAACACACAACATACATACATACACACGACATTTACACATAAAATACGATTCATTCAGATTAATCTACACCACAGCAAGGCTGCTACGACAATTTTATGTCGACAACTTGCTGAAGGAAAAGCAGACGTAGCACTTATTCAGAAACCTTGGATATATAGGGGCCAAAGAGGCTTAACGAATTCAGGGGGAACAATCTACTCTGTGGTACCTGGAGAGAATGTGAGATCATGCATATATGGTAATACTCATATTAATGCTTTACCCTTGCTTGAGTTCTCTTCCAGAGACACAACAACGGTGAGGATGACATACACATTGGGCGGAGGCTGTGAGGAGCTCATCGTCACTTCAGCTTACCTACCATATGACTCAGATGAACCACCACCTTCCAAGGAAGTGAGGGACATCGTTGAATATTGCTATCTTAGGAAAAAGCGGCTCATCACTGGGCGTGATGCCAACGCGCACCACACACTGTGGGGAAGCACTGACACCAACCCAAGAGGAGAATGCCTCATGGAATATTTGGTGAGTTTGAACCTTAATATTCTAAACCAGGGGTCTCCAAACTTCTTGAAACACAGGCCACATTGGGTAATTCAGCACTTTCAATGGGCCGGATAAAATGAGAAATTAATAACTCCAGGTATATGAGTTTTATTGAAAGCACAGAATTTCGTAAACTAGATACAAAGTACGTGGGAATAAATTATCGTATATTAATGACAACAGACAGTAGCAGCAAATGCTCATATTTTAATCACAAATTCTAATAAAACAGTTAATGTGAATGATGGAACTCTTTTTGCATTCTTAAAATCTGATTAAATTAAGGTTCAAATTTTGAAACCCTAATCACAAGTAGTGACTATTCATCGGATAAATTTGCCCTGTATTTCAACTTGATGTACTTCATCTGGGAAAAAGTTTGTTCACACAGATATGTCGTCCCAAAAATGGAGATAAATTTACAAGCAAATTTCTTTAACCCTTTACGGTGGTTTGACGTTTGTCGTACCGTGGTATTTAAATGCCCCTGTCTGTGGTTTCACGTACTGTGTACGTTAAGCTGTAAGCTAAGTTTCGAAATGGCATAAGAATTGAAAGGATCACGCTAGAATTATGCAGTTTGNCTGAATGCCTTGATAAGTGCAAATAGATCACAGACTAAGTTATTTTCATCCTGCGACTTTAAATCCAAATTGTTCATATGGTTCACCAGATCAGCAAAAAATGCCAATTTCCAAAGCCACTCGGTATCTGATAAAAGTGGTTGTGAATAATACTAATATTAACATAATATGGAATATCAATATATTTTAAACACAATCTTAATTAATGAATTTGAAATCTATGAGCAAGTATTTTTTTACCAGTACTCATTGGAAAATTAGTTCAACTGGCGCATTTCTGCACAATTCTTTCGAGGGGCCGGATAAAATCACATCGCAGGCCGGATGTGGCCCACAGGCCATAGTTTGGAGAACCTTGTTCTAAACCAAGGTAATAAGCCTACCTTTGTGGTTTGCAATAGGCAGGAGATTATCGATTTGACACTAGGGACCAATAAAATAGGATACCTGATCAGTAATTGGCATGTATCTGATGAGCCGTCCCTATCGGATCACAGATATATATGCTTTCAAATTAGCAACATCACAGTAGATCATGCTACTTATGGGAATCCTAAGAGAACCAATTGGGAGTCTTACAAAGACAACCTAAAAGTAAATCTGGAGATCATCTTGCGAAATATACGCACAATAAAGGACGCTGATCGGTCCGTTGACCAGTTGCAACGGGCTATTATCTCGTCCTTTAATCAGAATTGTCCAGCTAGGACCACTCACGAACCAAGAAGAGTGCCTTGGTGGAATAAACAGCTGAATGGGCTTAGAACCAAGACGAGAAGGCTGTTTAATACAGCTAAAAGAAAAGGGCAGTGGGACACCTACAAGGAAGCCCTTAGCTGTTACAACAAAGAAATAATAAAGCCAAGCGATCCTCATGGAGGAGACACTGCCAGGAGATCAATGATGTACCAGGCGGTTCCAGATTCATGAGGATCATGGCAAAACAGGCATCCAACAAGGTCAGCTCGATTAAGCTGCCTAACAGGCAGTATACTCAAACAGGAAGAGAGACACTGAATGAATTATTCAGGGTTCACTTGCCTGATTCAAAATTGATCGATAATTTGGACGATGGACAGGGACAGCAAAACCTGGACACTTGCCAAAGTAAGATGAACAGGGTAGACTGGAACCTGGCCAAAGTCATGATTAACCAATGAAAAATCAGATGGGTACTGAATACGTTTAGACCATTTAAGTCAGCGGGAACAGATGGAATCGTACCGGAACTTTTGCAGCAAGGGGCAGAAAACTCTTAGTTCCACACCTATGCCACATATATATATATATATATAGAGAGAGAGAGAGAGAGCCTGTATGGCATAAGGTGTTATCCCCATGGCCTGGAGGCAAGTTAAGGTGACATCAATCACAAAGTCAATAAAAAGTCCGTCGAGTGTAACAATTTATAGGTCACTTCTTTATCACTTCTGCCTTACATGTTTCGGTTTAATAAAACCATCATCAGAGGCACATAGTACAAGCATGAAAACACTGCCGTTGTTTAAGATGTACACAGTTATGTTTGCTGCGTGAACGCTGCTACAATACGTCGACGTGTAAAAGCACAACACTTGTTAGGATTGTTGAATGCACGTTCAATTCTCACATTCATCCGAAACTGCCCTCAAGTTAAAACGCCAATGTTAAAATATTTAAAATTTAAAACATTTGAAGTAAAATGTTAAGCTCCTCCCTGTTAATTCGTCCCGAAGATGGGAGATGTCAGCTTGAGGATGTATGGCTTATGGTTAGATGTTTCCTATGTGCTGTGTGTTGTGACATTTATCCCAAAACCCGGGAATCTAGATTACACTGAGGCTACAGCTTAACCTCCTATCAGCCTGTCATCTTTCCTTTTGAAAACAATGGAGAAAATAGTGGATGAGCATATCAGGGACAGGGCGTTGAGGACATATCCTCTACACCGAAACCAGCATGCCTACCAAACAGGTAAATCTACTGAAAGCGCACTACATAATGTGGTAACACGCATAGAAAGTGTGATTGAACACAAGGATATTGCCTTAGGATCATTCCTTGACATAGAGGGAGCTTTTGATAGAACCTCATTTGATATAATCAAACAGGCCACTGGAAAGCATGGCACAGAGCCTGCAATATGGAGGTGGTTCAGTGCCATGCTGGAAAGTAGAACCATAGCTGCCACACTATCCAGAAAGACCCTGGGGGTGTCCGGGTCTAGGGGGTGTCCACAGGGGGGCATGCTCTCACCTCTGCTGTGGAGCCTGGTCGTTGACGATCTCCTGTGGGGACTTAATGATGATGGGTATTATACAGTAGGATATGCTGATGACACAGCAATCCTCATAAACAGAAAATTCCTTTTGACAGTATCAGAGCATCTTCAAACAGCTCTGTACACGGTCCAATGATGGTGTGAAAGAACAAGCCTTTCCATCAATCCTAAAATGACGGTAATTATACTGGTTACCAGGAAGAGAAATATAAAGGGCCTTAAGGAATCGACCCTCTTCAATAATATGATCCAGCTCTCCAACGATGTCAAGTACCTTGGTCAGTATTACACAAGGGACTGACATGGAAAAAGCAGCTGGAAAAGGTCATCAATAAAGCCTATAAGGCTTTCTGGACATGAAGAAGCATGTTTGGTAAAACTTGGGGGGCTGCAGCCGCACGTTGTGCATTGGATATACACTGCGGGTGTAAGACCCATAATTACATATGGCGCCACAGTACGGTGGCCCAGAGTTACACTCAAGACAAACAAGGCAGAACTTAGCAAACTGCAAAGGTTCGCTTGCTTGGGTATCACAGGAGCAATTTGAACATCTCCAAAAGCAGCACTGGAGACACTCCTTGGACTCCCCCCACTGCATCTACAGTTGGAGGCAGAGGCCAGGGCAGGAATCTACCGTCTCCAGTGCAGTGATCAATGGAAACCTAAATCCGATAGTTTCGGACATGCATACATAACTCAGACATGAAAAAAGAACCCATATTACAAATGGGGTCTGACAAAATGATATTGAGACATGTATATGAAAAACCCTTCACAGTCAAATTTCCTGACAGGAGTGAATGGGAAGACGGGTTTCGGCCCAATAGAAAAGTGGGACTGATCTGGTACACAGATGGTTCAAAGATAAACAAGGGCACTTGAGCTGGTGTGTTCTTCTATGGTATGAGGCGGAAACTTAGTTTCAGCTTCGGGCAGTACACAACAGTATTCCAGGCAGAAGTATATGCCATTAAGACGTGTATTATGGAGAATCTAGATAGGAACTACAGAAATAGGAACATCTACATTCTATCTGACAGTCAAGCTGCACTTAAAACGCTTGACAAACACCAGATCAACTCAAAATTGGTCTGGGATTGCCACCAATCTCTCATGGAACTGGCCAAACATAACAGGGTACAACTGATATGGGTGCCGGGGCATGAGGGTATTGCTGGAAATGAAACAGCACACCAATTGGCCATGATTGGAGCTGAACATCCATTCATAGGACCTGAACCAGCTGTGGCATCTCTATAGGAGTCGCCAGAAAGGCAATCAGGGACTGGACAAATATGAATCACAAGAAATACTGGGGATCCTTGACTGGACTCAGGCAAGCATAGGGACTCATACGAGGACCCTCTACTAGAAGAGTGAAGGAACTGTTTAAGTTAAACGGGAACCAGCTACAATGGGTGTTGGGACTACTTACAGGACACTGTCACCTTAAAGGACACCTCTTCAAACTGGGACTAAGTGACAGTCCCACTTGTGAGGTGTCAAGAAGAAAATGAAACAGCCACACATATCCTGTGCAAATATGAGTCTTTAGCTTATTTAATATTGCATCACTTGGGTCAATATTTCATGGAACCAAGTGACTATTTCGACATCGGCACATACAAAATCCCATGCTTCATTCAAAGCGCAGGATTGTTGTGGGGATAATGAGAAGGGGAGGCACAATAGATCACTGTGATCACAGTGCAAAGGCTAAGAAGGCCCACCCCTTATACATTCATTCATTCATTCATTCATTTATTCATTCATTCATTCATTCATATCTACAACAATCAAACCAAGAATAAAAATGTCAGAAGTGCCAGCATGCTACACTACAAGGCTTAACCAGAAAATCATGAGGGACTTGATTATTCAAGAGTTCTGTCTCCTGGGATACACAATATATTGCCTCCATCTTCAGGGTCAAAGTGTGAGCTAAGCAAGAAACTGACGTGAAGCTGGCATACACAGAGCTTACTCTTTGACCCTGAAGATGGAGGCCATATGTTCCTCCAGAACATCAGTTACTTTCACTTGGCTACATGGCATTATATTCCAGATGTCAACTCCTCATGGTCACCACTGTGAGAATCTCAAATCCAACAGTTGGACTATTGCTTGAAGAACATGATTTTCTCCAAATGATCTGTAGAATATGTTCCCTAAATCTGGCCATCATGCCGTGGGACATTTGTATGCTAAACATATCTCTGAATTATGACTGTAGTATGTAACACATTACAGATGAAGAGTTCTAATTCCATTGAAAATCAGCCAATATTTCCGTCTTCAGGGTCGAAGAATAAGACAAGCAAGAAACCAACAAGGAGCAGGTAGCAAGCTCTTCATAACCACCACTACAAAAACCTCAAATCTTACATATTACAGATGATTTCAAGTTTGTATTAGTCACATTTTAACATTCAGATGACACCAAACTGTCAGAAAGGCAATTCTAGAACAAGAAATTGCTGCCTGTATTGTATCAGTCTCTCTCATAATTTGTCATAATTCATAAAACCTTTCTATCATTATCTTAACTGGAAATGAAACAGGAATTAACATTTTTATTGTAGTAGAGATTGTATCATGAAGGAATTTATTTACCAAAGAACAGTATATTACATACATGGAGACGTTTTAATAACACTGCATCTGTAGTTGAGCTCGCACTTTGTTTTGCAGCTTTCCAGAACTGTTTCTGTGCCGAGTAACGATTCATAGGACAGATTTTGAAGAGACAGTCTGAAACAGGTGTTACACCACTGGAATAAAATGAGAACAATAACAGCATATCTATTTTATATTTCATATATTTTAATACAAGTATGTATGATTGAGAGTAAGTAAGTAGGTCACAAATAGAAGCAGAACAGCTGTAATGGACCTAATTGGTTTTCTATGTGATGCAATTTCATTTTTAAAAGTGGAATTTCCTAGAAAATTCCCTGGTATTAACACAATTCCAACAACAGAAACTGAGATAAAAAACATAATACATTCTCTCAAATCAAGAAACTCATGATGTTATGATCGAATAACAAGTAAAAGTTTAAAAGTTTGTGCATCTCTGATCAGTTACCCACTTACTCACATTTCTAATCACTCACTATTCACAGGGATCCTCCCTGATTGTTTTCAGATTTCAGTAGTAAGATCACTGCATACAAAAGGGGACAAAACTAGTATGTCAAACTGCAGGCCAATTTTTCTATAAACTACTTCCTCGAAAGTACTTGAGAAAGTCATGCACAACAGGTTAAGCCATTATTTGCAGACTAATAATATATTAGTCCCAAAACAGTATGGCTTCAGGAAAGGAATTAAAACAAAGGTAAAGTGGGGGGGGGAGAAGAGACTGAAATAAAATCATCAAATTTAACCCAACATACCTACTCAAACTGGGGAACAATAAAGCACTGAGTTCCACAGGGGTCAATTTTAGGGCCTTTGCTTTTCCTAATTTATATAAATTACCTCCCTCCTACATTAAACACCTCATCAATACTCACAATATTTGCTGATGACATTAGCGTCATAAAACTGAGATGATTTCTGCACTCTATCAAACAAAGTTCTCTCTCAAATGAACAAATGGTTAACTGTAAACAAGCTGTCCCTGAATCTAGACAAAGCAAATGTAATAAAATGTATAACAAAAAAAAACTGAACATAATATCAATTAAACATTGGATATACTCAAACATATAGAATAGGCAGTGAACACAAAATTCCTTGGCTTACAAGGTGATAATCATTCAAACTGGAAAAAACATATTGATCAGTTGGTTCCAAAGCTAAGTGGAGCATGTTATGCAGTTATACCTATGTTGCATATCAGCAACACTGTTACTCTCAGGTCAATTTACTTTGGTTACTTTCACTTTATAATGAAGTGTGGAATAATTTTCTAGGGTAATTCAACTGACAGAAAGAAGGTATTTACATCACTCACTCACTCACTCACTCACTCACAGAGCTGAGCCCTTCCTGAGAAGCCACCAACTGTACAGCTACTCTAGAACTTCTCAGCACTTTATGGAACCCAAAGGTCCATCACTGTGTTCACAAGAGCCCCCCACTGGTCCCTATCCTGAGCCAGATCAATCCAGTCCACACCATCCCATCCTATCTCTCTAAGATCAATTTTAAATTTCATATACTTCAGGAATTTATCCAACACATATTCTATTTCTGCATAGAACCTGTCCCTTACATCATCAATTTTATCTTCTGTTGAGGCACGAACATTCAGAACGATGATATCACACCAACAACCTCTTAGTATTATGTATGAATACCTATCACTAACGAACTCTACCCTCTTAACTGCTGATATGATTCTCCTGTGTATGAAGAAACCTGTACCTAATTCATGATTTTCATTCCCCTTTCCATAGAAAAATGTACATTCGCCTCCTGGTTCGGTGCCACCTCCGTACCATTTGACCTCCTGTACTCCCACTAGATCTAACATATATTTTGAGATTTCTTCTGCAGAAAGTATTTACATTGCAAAAGAAAACTGTCAGACACATGATGGGTGTAAAATTCTGTATTTCTTATAGAGATCTTAACTCTTCCATGTGAGTACATACTTTCATTAGTAAACTTTGTTACAAATAACAAAGAACATTTTCAGACCAAAGGAGATGTACACAGCGTTAACACGACACAAGCACTATGTCCATAAACCAACTGCTAACTCTCATGTTTGCAGAAGAGCACATATTATGCTAGGATCTGCTGTCTGACCACAAAAGTCTCATGACTGAAAAAGCAGTAAAACGATACTTAAACACACATTATACTCTGTTGATGAATACTTATTGTCTAAAAAATGACCCATCCATTTGAAACTTGATGAAACAGCGTAAGTTGACAATAACGATGTCTATATAAGGATGTAGTTTTGAATAGCCTCAGGTGTAACCACTGTGTTTTCTTGGGTTTTCTTGTGTGAAAACTTCAGTTGTACTGTACATATGTTTTTGTATTCATTTGACATACTCTACATCCTAAAGTCATTCTGACTAACTTTGAATCCTGAGAATGCAATGTAATGCAATATAACGTAAAATGACTACGTAGAAGCACAGACCAGCTTGATGACAGTCTAGGTTGGAGAAATGCATGCACATGCTCAAAGGCTGTTTCCAGCAGTCAAAATGGTGACCATGCTTGAGGGGTGTACTACAGAAGAGAAGTGTTCTGTTGTGCATTTTCTGTGGGCAAAAGGACTCAATGCAAAGAATATTCATAAAGAAATATTTCTTGTTTACAGTGGGCAGTGTTTGATGTGTAAAGCAGTTCACAGCTGGGTGGCAAACATTTTGCTGATGATGAAGAGGTTGAAATGGAGGTGCAGAAGTGTCTCAGACAACAGTCAAAAGATTTATAAGTTGCAGGTTTCAACACATTGGTAAAGCAATGGGACAAGTGCATCAATGTTGGTGGAGAATATGTCGAGAAATGAATGTTTTTTCTATGTTCAAAAACCATGTTTTACTTTTTTTATCCATTTGAGACCTATTTACTGACTTTCCCTCATATTTTGAAAATTCACCAGATCAGTACAAAGAATGAGATCATATGATATAATGATCATAATAATTATTTCATATAAAAGTACAGAAGTATTCACATCAAAAATCAAAGCAATAGGATATATGATATCTCAGTGAAATCACTGATTAATTTAAGAACACTGGCACACTGCACATACTATTTAGCAGGGAATGAAAAGTGACAGGATGACAACAAAGAGTGGTTGAAAGAACATGTGTAGAAGTGCTTGTGGCCTACCTTCAGTTACTACCCAAGAATTTGCCGAAGGGGATGAAGATACAAGCTGCTCATTTAGAACAATGAGAGGGGGAGAAGGGGGGGACATTTTCTGAGATGAATGATGTCTCATCTATATGGCATAAATGGGGGACAAGGCACACATCTATAAAAAATACAAATAAAAAAAATAAAAAAAAACTCCATGGCTTGAGCTCACAAGCAAATAATACCAATTGAGTGAGCACTGCTTGTCAGTGAAGTTAGTGTCAACTTCAGCACATACAGGGTGTGGCATAGTCAGCGCAACGAATCCCCATGGCTGTTAATTTTAGTTTTCTAGACCAGAGCCGCTATTTCCTTGATATAGCTCCTCAGTTATCCTAACGAGGCTGAGGGGACTACGTTCCAGGTCTATTACTTCTCATAAAATCTGGTAGCGCTGGGAATCGAACCAGGGACCTCTGGACCTATAGCCATGAACCCTGACCACTAGACCACAGAGACGGTCATACAAATATAAAAAATAATAATTATTAAAGAAGCATACCTCGGAATTTTTTTGGTGGGTTGTTGAGATCACCAGCCTCTGGACACACCACACTTCGATCATCAACCAAACTGCAATGAAAAAGAACGGGACATCTCATTAACTGCATGTGTGACAAACTACTGGAAATTATTTGGAGATTATGCACAAACTAATTACTTAATCCCAAAATTCTATAATTTCCACACTGGTGCAAAAAGTGCACATTTCTACATGTTTGCTTAACAACACGCATGCATGTGGATGTGTAAGCGCATTTGATGCTGCATGTTTGTTTGACATCAGCAGCTATTCTCCAAAAACTGGGCAATAAGGGATGGTAACAATATGCCATCTAAGCTACATCTGAAGGTTCCTGACCATGGTGAATAACAGTCTTTCAATCTCTTTGACTGATATTCTGAACACTGTCCACTGTCCCAACTATTTTGCCACCTGATTCTATTTCCTCCTTGAAATCACAGAATACTGCAAGCATTCCTACTTTGTTGGGCCTCTTGGCACAATTAGTTCAGGTCTATCTTATTAAATCTAAAGCCACAGTGAATCACCTCTTGTGGTGCCAAAGTGTTAAGTGTCGATTAGGCTAATACTCTCCCCCCACCCACTTTTATTACTAAAAGGAACTGCCCCTTGTGGTCCAGCTGAAAAACTATGCCAGTGGAGGTGGGAAATATTGTCACACATTAGTGACTAGACATGGAGTTTTGACTGGTAACTGGATTTACTGAACACTTATAAATTGTAAGTACAAGTAATTAAAATGCTCATTCACACACTACAACAAATGACTATAGCATATGCTGAGTCTGATATCATCTTCACTAGTCATTGCTTGGTTATGGTTCCCAACAATGCAGAGTCTTCTGCTCTCATGCTTATATCATTGATGAATGGCTACCATTTCACAACCCGCAATTCATTGGTCCAACTGCCAACTCTCACCTCACTAATTCTCTGCCTGAGTTCTCCTTATATAACCTTCATGGTGCCCATTGCCTAGCAATAGACTAGTCATTGTTACGTAGGTTGTACCAAGAGTCATGAGCAACTTCTTTTTGCACGCAACCTGGGAACAGCAGACAAAAGACAGTAGGGTGGTAGGTGGAACCAGCTGTTGTGTTAACCTTGAGGGCCTTGTGACGTCAATAGCTTGCATCACGTGACCAGTATCACTCCTAACAAAATGGCCAACGATATGTCATTTCATCAGCGTCCTGTCATCAAATTTTTTTGTGAAAGAGGAAATCCCTGCTGCAGAAATTCACCAGACTTCAGCGTGCTTATGGAAGCGTGTGCATAGGTGCAAGCAGTGTTTGAAGATGGGTGAAACATTTTAAAGACGGGAACACCAGCACTGAAGATGAGCCTCGGAGCGGTTGTCCTCGAACAGCTTCAACTGAATGCAACAAGGAAAGAGTGGATGAGATCATTCAAGATGACGGGTGTGTGACTGTGGACACAATAGCCTGAAAACTTGCAATAGGGTACAGTGCAGTATAGTTTGTGCTCGTTGAGTCCCGCGGTTATTGAGCGAAGACCACAAAGGTCAGCGAAAAGCCATCACCTCAGAACTGCTGCAGAGATATCGACACAAAGGCGATGATTTTTTGCTCTGTATTGTGACAGGTGATGAAAGCTGGTTTCACCATTTCGAGCCTGAAATGAAACGGCAGAGTATGGAATGGCACCATTTGCATTCTCCATCAAAAACGAAGGCAAAGACAGTGCCATCAGCTGCGAAGGTGATGGGCACAGTCTTATGGGATGCAGAGGCGTTTATTCTGGCCGAATCCCTGGAACCTGGGCAAACCATCAATGCTGCTCGTTATGTCCAGATGCTGCACAAGCTCCATCGTACATTGCGTGATAAACGTCCTGGATGAAACATCATCATCCTGCATGACAACACTCGCCCCCACGCCACTCGCCTCACATTGGAAGCAATTGCAAAGATGGGGTGGGAAGTTCTTCCACACCCCTCCTATAGCCCTGATCTGGCACCCTACAGCTACCATCGTTTCGGATTTGTGAAGGATCAGCTGCATGGACAACGTTTTGAGACAAGGGAGGCAATTCAGAAAGCACTGTGTCAGTGTCTACATATGGCTGAAACGGAATTTTACAGAAGGGTAATTTTCAAACTCCCAGAACGCTGGGAGAAATGTGTACAAAGACGTGGCGATTATGTGGGAAAATAAAGAAAGGTCTGTAAATTGTGGTTGTGTAGTTGGTTTGGCAATAATAAAGCATGTTACTTTACAAAAAATTGTTGCTCATGACTTTCAGTATGACCCTCGTACATGTTTACCCAGCTGTTACCATGGCACGGACAATGATCATGTAGTTATGTCCCAATATACACATTTAAAGTCAAAGAAATTAAACAGAAACCACAATTTAAAAACTTTACAGAAATTCAATATCTGTTTCTGATTATGTTTCTTCTTTCTTCTCATCTTCCTCATCTTCTTCACTTGAATCATCCTCATCCTCTTCACTTGAATCATCCTCTTTACCTTTACGCACAGTGTCTTCTTTCTTCTCATATTCCTCATCCTCTGCACTTGAACCATCCTTTTGGTGAGATTTTGGTATCTTAAAGATCTCGTCATCCTTATTAAGCCAGTTATGAACATCACCTGGGTCAGCTCCAGATGTTCCATGAAAATCTATGTAATGTGGGGGGAGGACCCCACACCAGTTATCCAATTTATAGTGAATTCCAAATTAGTGAGGTTTCACAGTATTAAAAAACTTTTATGCTATTTATACCCCTCAAGATGGCAACTATATGTTACTGAGACATGAAGAATGAACTTAATTTTAATTATACTGACATGTGTTAGTGACTAAACAGGGAGTCTGGATTGATAATTAGATTTATTGAATGTTTATTACTCGTAACTACAAGTAACTATAACACTACAGCCAATCTACTCACTTAACACACCACTACTGCAAATACCAAGTCTACTCAGTCTGGTATGTCTTCACCAGTCATTGCCTTGTAGTGGCACCCAGCAATGTCTTCTGTGCTTCTGTGCTCATGTCGTTGCAGGCTTTCTACTGTCTCATAACTGGCCCTCAACTACCACTCACAGTGAAAGTCAAGTAAAAAATAAAGTCACATTATGATCAACAGGCAGTTGGCAAGCCTGTCTTGGTGTCAAGATTAAGATCTGGACAGTAATGTGGCCAGCACCAATGCCATCTGAGCTGTTCAGAAAAATGATTAGACAACACTCTGTTATCTAAATGCTCACTGAGCACACCCAACACTGTATTTACAGTGTGTGGCCAAGCCCCATCTTGCTGGAAAAAAACATGTTTTTTCCTGAAATTCACAGCCATTTCTTGGAACAATGGAAGAAATTCTTCTTGTAGGGCATGAAGCTAATGATCATCAGTCATATTGGAGATGAAAAAATTGGCTCATCAGCACCACTTGGCAGAAGACATCACACTGTACATTTTCAGGGTGTAATGGTGTGTCCATTGTGTTATGATGGTGTTCACTGGCCCATACATGCATATTCTCCTTGTCCATGTAGCCATTAAAATGAAAATGGGCCTTATCACTTAACTGGATTGTCCTCCAGAAATATCTTCACAGAAGTCAATAATCCTGGCTTTAGCAGCCTGAAGATGGGCTTGCTGCATTTTTATTTTGTCTGCAAAGAGTTTCACGCCTTCTCAAACTATCCTGCATGTTGAAGTTGCAACCAAGTTAAGTTGTTGAAAAATATGTCTTACAGATTTCTTGAGAATCTGTAATCATGTCTGCTCAACAGGTCAATAATTTCTGGTGTTCTGACAGGCTTCTCATCATTACCGTTTATCACACTCCTAGTCATTTCAAACTTCTAAACTAATCTCTTTATTCTGACTTACTTGGTGCTTTCCTGCATTCAAAAATGACAGTGAAAATCATGATAACACTAGCAGTCTAATTCAGTCTTTTCACTAAGAGCTCATGCTGTTCTATTGAGTGCATCATCTTAATCGCTGCTGGTTCTTGATCTTGTCACCAAGGCCAGTACACTCTCCTGAGACTACTGAACTCAGAGACATCAAATACAGTTACATTTTCTATGTAATAACATACTTATGTGCAATCAAATCTGGAGTGTCCCTTTTTAAACATCCTGTATATGCATACATAAATGTAAAACTACGTTTCCATATGTTACCAACAAGTGAAAGGATTAAAAACAGATAATGCAATTTACAAATTCATTACAGAGATTCTAAATTCTATGAACAGCAAACAATTGGTGGCACGTGTTTTTTGTGATCTGGACAAAGTTTTTGACTGCAGAGATCATGATATCTTGTTCTACAAACTTAAATTTTATGGTATTATTGGGAAAGATCAAGCAATTTATGAATTTCATTTAAGTAACAGATATATTAGAACAGTAATACATAAAAGTGATGTGAATACAGTATCCTCAGATTTGCAGGGAGTGCTGCAAGGGTCTGTTATTAGGACCTTTGTTGTTTCTCTTATATATAAATGACTTGCCTAAAATATTAAAATATATTTTCTACACCTATAATTATAAGATGCTAGTATCATCAGCAAAAATTATAATTTTTGCTGATGATACTAGCATCTTATTTTCACATTGTAATACAAATGATCTTAGCATGAATATTCTTATAACAATAGAAACCTTAAATGCATAGTTTAGAGATAATAAATTATCTTTAAACTTTAACAAGACACATTGTATTCAATGTAAAACTAAGACAGTAATGTCAGATACTTTTACAATAAATCATAATAATAAGTTTATCAACAGTACCCTCAGTACTAAATTCTTGGGAGTTATAGTTGATAGTGCCTTTATATGGAAGAATCATATTGATTTACTTGTAAAATTTAAGTAAAGCTTGTTATACTATTATAAATATGAAGTATTATATGTCTATTTCAGCTCTAAAGGTAATCTACTGGTATTATTCATTTTTTCACTCATTAATGAGCTATGGTATCATCTTTTGGGGAAACTCATCTCAGTTCTACTATTTTTCTTCTCCAAAAAAGGCTATCAGAGCGATGTTGGGTTATGGCAATAGTTTCATGTAGAAACATATTTAAAGAGAGGAATATTGTATCATTTGCATCACAATATACATATATTTTCATTGTTAGTATTTGTATTGCAAAATAAAGTTCTTTTTCCATCAAACATTTATTCTTATACTATTAATACCAGACAAAGACAAGATTTGTATCTACCTCAAGCTAATTTAACTATTTATCAAAAAGGGGTTTATTATGCTGGTATAAAAATATTTAATAAACTGGCCATAGAGATCAATAATTTTAAAAAGTTTAAGGTTGTATTAGGCATTTCTTGAACACTCATATGTTTTATACTATGGATGAATATCTAAATAGATAATTTTTATTATTGTTGTATTCATTGTACTGTCTAGTTGTGTAGTAACTATGTATGTATTCTGTGCTCTATATTATTTTTATGACATGTTCTATATCCATCTTTGGATCTCTTGAACTTACAATAAATACAAATATAAATACAAATAATAGTGTATACCTATTCATCTATGTACATCAGTATCACATGTGTCTGGAAACATACTCACCCTAGGGTACTAAGGAAGCCACAAACATTGCCTTCAGCATAGAGGGAGACAATGTCTCCCAAATGCAAGAAACTTGCAGATCCAATTATTTCCCCCATCTTCAGAACTTCAAGTAACACAGGCACAATGACAGGTCATTCATTCATCGTGCATTTCATAATCTTCAACATTAAATCTTCAGTATCTCCATGCTCCAATGCTGTAAAATAATTTTAAGCTCTGAAGTGAATCTAACACATTATATACTGTACTTAAATAATGTACTTTAAACTTTCATCCACCATTTTATCTTCTCTTAAATACTAATACTGGATTAAACATGAAGTGAACACTCTGTAAAAAGAATAAACATAACTCCCAATATCTATATTTTAAGTAATAAATCATGAGAGGATATTTCAGTAGAAATAAATATGATGCAGATAATGGGCTGTCACTATAATGCATCACTCATATTACATGAACATCTACCATGTTCTCTCTCAGCAAGTATCGGTAGTATACAAACTCCCTTCTCACATACAACATTCATATGGCTGGAAAAGGCGTGTCATTTTGTTTATGTAATAGATCCAAAAGAATGTCTGCACCATCTGCTAGCACTCACTGTCTATGTATAATTTCTTGTACATTTCTGATTGAGTGCGAAATATACAGTCCTTGAATATTCTGCCAGATAATGAATCAGTACATTCTGATCACACATTAAATTCATTATTAACAAAAATATATATCATAAAAAGTATGAATCCAACCCTTACATGGCAGAATAAAAGTTAATTATAGTTAATAAATCTCATGAACTCATTTCTTTAAAGTCTGTATTGTAATGCTCATTTATCTAAAATTCATGCCAGAAAATGATAAAAGAGAATTCAATTGCATCAATTTCGAAGCCAAGCTACCCAAGACACAAATCTTAAACTCTGACACAAATTCTGTCAAGAATCTCAATTGTTTCCTTTAACAACTGAGCAAAGGGCTGCACTCTGTTTGCTTCCTAAATGGGCTCAAGCTGCATCTTACACAACACACAAATAAAATCACAAATTTATGTTTGACTAAGATTGTTATAGCAGTGGATATGAAAACTTTTATCTTCTGGGATACAATGCTGTGTAGTCCACTGAAAGTCAACTGATGTTTTGGAGGAACATGACACCTCCATCTTCAGGGTCAAGGTAAAAGCCAAGCAAGAAAACAGCATGAAAGTGGTAGCAGGCAGAGCAATCTGCTTTCCAAAATTTCAGATTGTACAGGAATCTGGAGGGAAATGCAAGACAGCAAGTCAGTTCCTGTTGGCTCATCCGCAGAACTGTCCTATAAAATCCAAAATTTTGGCAAGCTAATTGATCTGCATGCTACCAGCCTCACACTGATTTCTTGCTTAGCTTGTTATTTAACACTAAAGATGTAGATGACATGTTCCCTCAAAATGTCTGTTGACTTTCAACAGACTACACATTGTTTTATCCAGAAAATAGAACTCTCTGAACCATGAATTTGTTAAGCGTGGCACAAGACTCATTTGTAGGTGATATACAACTTGTGCATGTCTTTAGCAATATGCTTTCACATGGAATCTAACAAAATTAAGTAAATGTTGACAGAAGCCCTGCTTTATTATGTCTCTGAACTGGTGATCTAAAGTCGGCCTATATTATAGCAAAAATTTAATCTGTGTATAGAATTAACTTCACCAGAAGCATACTGAGTACAATTCTATATGAAGCTGATAAGAATGAGATTTCTCAAAATTATCTAAAATTGGTTGTCATTAAAGTGTTTTAGTAATACATGTTCAACACACATGCATGCGCACACACACACACAAACAAGCTAGTGAAAGCAACTAGTGTTCATTGGGTTCTTTTTAAAATAATGAATGAATGAATGAATGAATGAATGAATGTACAAGGGGTGGGCCTTCTTTGCCCTTGCACTGCGACCACAGTGATCTATTGTGCCTTTGAAATAATGAAACTGTCAAATTTACTATGACCAATCATTGGAAATCTAGAAATTAAAAAAAAAGATTCAGAACATTTAAATAAACAGTCACTTGTTTATAAGTAGTAAGCAGTATGGAAACAAAGATGGGGACTACAAACGTGCAGAAAGCTAGGTGGTACTGTTTGCAAAACTTCCATATGTTGAAACAGTATACAGCACCTAAAATTCAAAATATGACTTATTGGTAGTGCTCTCTCATATGAAGATGGTACTTCTACATACTGGGAATACAATATGCATGATTTCTTGAATACAATATCTGAACATAAGTGGTGTGACAGTGGAGCTCCTGTACTGTGATCATCTAACATAAAATACTCCATTTGTTTGGGGACATTATATATATAGTGTGTATCAAAACTCAATGGCAAAACTTGAGGATCTGACTTCTCATATAGAGAGAAGAAAAAAGTGTATGATAACATGGTTCCGGAAATGCATAATTACAGAGTTATCCGACCTTTTAGTAACATTAGTGCAATCCGACACTCCCAACATTGTTGCACTGTTACAATGAATACGTCTGTAATGCCAACTGGAACACTCTGGTCACATATCAGAGGAAATGTTCAAAGTGAACTCCTCCTGCCTGAATACAGGCCTCTGCTCGTTGTCACATGGAGTGCCGCACATGATCAAAAATGCCTGGTGTAGTGCGTACTGTCTGACAGGCTGCCACAATTCGTGCATGGGGAGTTGGTACATCAGCAACAACAGTCAAATACACAACAGACTTTAAGTGTCCCCACAGGTAAAAGCCAGGGGGTTTAGGTCAGGAGAGCATGGTGGCCAAGCAATCGGTACACCTCTACCTATCCAGCGCCCAGGATAATGTGCATTAAGGTGCCTGCGGGCAGACAGACTGAAATGTGTGAGAGCACCATCATGCATGAAGTGCAGATGTTGACAGGATGCTAGTGGCATGTCTTCCAAGTAATCAGGCAATGTAGTATGCAAGAAATCTGTGTAGTTCTGTCCAATAAGCTTGTCTGGAATAATGTAGGGTACCAACAATGCTGGCCCAGATGTTAATGGCGAACCTCTGTTGATGAGACGACTGGATAGTTGCACGGGGATTTGTGTCCGCCCACATGTGCTGATTATGAAAATTTTGGATTCCATCCCTTGTGAATGTCGCCTCATCTGTGAACAACACAACAGCTGTGAAGTTAGGCGTCGCACTGCATTGTTGCAGGAACCACCAGTAGAACGTTACTCTTGCAGGATAATCCACAGGAGACAAGGCTTGTACATGCTGTAGATGACATGGATACAGGAGCTGTTCTCATAGCAATCTCCAGATGGTCACGTGCGGGATATTCTTCTGCAGGACTAACTGCCTTGTGCTGACTCCAGGACTTTGATCCACAGCGTTGAGTACATCTTCCTCGTCCTCAGGGGTTGTACTTCTTGGTCGTCCCCCTGTGCCTGGTGGACGTGCAAAACTCCTGTGTTTGCACAGGTGGCGATTGATTCCTTCAAATGTCTTTCAGTCTGGCAACCTGAGCATTGGGTAGCCTTCCTGATACAAGAGATGCGCCTCTGAAGCATTACCATCCGCCAAACCATACATGTAACGCATGTTTGCGAGTTCTTCATTTGTATACATTACATATCACTTCACAGCAGACTGCAACCAACACTTAATAATCACAGATAACAGATGTCATACACACCTTTTGGATATGGCTATAGCTACTTAACTGGAGACGACAGGATATCATCTGCGTGTCCAAGAGGTATTCAGGCCCACATCAAATTGATTTGCAACATGATGACTTGTGTAACAATGGCAACCAGTGTCTCACATTTTTATTCCGGCAAACAGGACGTGTCGGCATGCAATCCGTAAATTACACACTCAGATAACTCTGTAATTATGCATTTCCGGACCCATGTTGTCATACGCTTTTCTTCTCTCTATATGAGGAGGCTGTTCATGAAGTTTTGCTGCTGAGTTTTGATACACCTGTGTATATATATATAAGCAACATTTTGTAGTTACAAAGACCCCACTCACTGAGTGAACATAAAACAAAATGTCAGTCCATTTACCACAATAAAATCAGATACTTAGAAACATTTGCAGATACTTCCTCACTACTACCTTTATGGCTTCAACAAGAGGCAAATAAAATAAGATGGGAGAAAAAGGCATAAATGGGAACTTCAGAATTCTTACTCTTTGCTGGACTATTAGGAGGATGATCAAACCATGGAGAATGAGATGGGTGGGGAATGTATCATGCATCAGAGAGGACAGAAGAGAAACTGATACAAATTCTGATTGGAAAACTAAAGCAAGGAGACAACTTGGAAGATCTAGGCACAGATCACAGGATAGCTTTAAAATGTAAGTGAAGGAAATGTGGGGAAGTAAGGACTGGATTCATGTTGGTCCACGTAAGGGCCAGTAACAGGCTGCTGTGAACTCCATAATGAGTCTTCACATTTCTTCAAGGCAAGGAATTTGACTAGCTGAATGATCATTAGCTTGTCAAGGACTATACTATACAATGGTAATTAGAGATAGGGATAAATTATGAGCAGGAACTGTGTCACAAAATCTCCTCATGCATTCATCTGCATTAATTTGGGGCAAAAGCCTTATAAAAATTATATGCTCGTACCATTAAAAGTTACTGTCTTTATCATCACGGATGTGAGTGTACATTATTCGCTTAGCGTTCTGGGCTGCTACGATTTCTTAGTGCCTAAACTCAGATACAACATAACCTAATCTGTGAGCAGTAAAAAAAAAGGCTATATTATTTATACAGTTCAAGGTTCATATTTACATTACATGCACGGAGACAGTTACAATCCTGCCATTCACAGGAAGAAAAGCCTAGAAACAAATATGACCTACCACTCAACACTCCTAGTTAAGGTGGGGCATTAGTCCAGGAATCTGTAGCACTTGAAGAAGTCTTCCTTGATTAAACTATAGTACAATCACTTTTCGATCAGATTCATACTTTTCTTTAACTGATGCTTATTCCAGATTTGTACCCTGAAATAACCGAGAAACTTTCACCTCGCTGTCCTTCCCACATTACTTGCCAGTTGGCAGAGGTTGTAAAATCTATCATGTAAGTGCATCTAAAGACTCTGGTGGCAACTGGTTAATTAATGCGGCCGATGTGGACTAAGCAAAATGCAAACCACTTATTTCGTCACGTTGACAATGTGTCTCTGCTTGTCACACTTATAATTTTTTAAACTTACACTTACTCAAAATTCAAATATATCAGTAGGTGAGCGATATGAGACTTCAAAAGTGCTGCACATGTTAAGTTCCACACCGAAATCAAGGCTGTCAAAACCATCTAACGATCAAATCCGTCAACACTGCAGACGTGCAGAGAGTAACTTTTCTACACTCAAGAATCAAGAACGCCTAACAGCGGTAACAGTTTCGGCAACTTGGGTATGAAATAAAGTACCAAGGTGACCAAGCGTATATCAAAACCTTCTGTTTCTTGTGATTCGATTTCATTTGTTGGTGTTGGTACTATTGCAGGTTATATCGAGTTAAATGGATATATCAGTTAAATCGGTTATATCATTCTAATTTACTTGAGTGTACTTGAGCTACTTGAGTTATCTACCTTTGTCAGCTGCCTCAATTGATCATTTGCGAAGTTTGGAATGTAGATGAATGTGACATTGATTAAAAGAATATCTCGTAATGCTCGTAATGCACTCAGACGAGAGAACTGTGTGTTGTGTGCGTGTACACTGTGTCTTCATGAAATAGTGGTGAGATATTTTAATACGAACCCTTGACTGTGGAGTTCATTGTGTCGAGTATTTCAGTGAATATTCGTAACTGCAGACAGGAACCTGTAAGAAATGGGGTTAGGGAGACTAATTATACGACAGGTAAGGCATTTTTTGCACTAAAAGTCGTACATTGCATAGAGAAAGGAACAATATGGAATAAACACATTTCAACGTTATTGTGAGGGATAAGATTCATGTTAACTTCTATATATTTCTTTTTGTTAGACACATGCTGTACTGCAGACTCAAGTACCGCTTGTCCGTGACAAAGCTTTTATTAATGGGGCATGGGTCGCAGCAGCCAGTGGCAAGATGTTCGATGTAATAGATCCAGCCAGTGGCAAGGTTGTGGGCTCTGTTCCTGATATGGATGCATATGACACTGCTAAAGCTATTCAGGCTGCTACAGATGCTTTTCAAACATGGAAGAATACCACTGCCAAGGTATTGTTGAATTTTACATCATAAGCTGTGTGATTACATGGGGTTTTTTAAAAGAAGAGGAACATTTATACAAATTAGCTAAGATGACTTAATTTCATGACATTTTCCTTGGATGTGTACAGGTTTTATGCTGTCAGTTTCTTCTGTAGCAGTTTTATAGTAGTATTTATTTATTTATTTTTTCGTCCCTATAGATCATTGTTACATGATATAGGACAAGTCAGTTACTGTACATTTGCTGATTACAATAAGAGAACAAAGTTACAATACCTAAAATTGTTTACAATAGATTATAGTAGATTACAGTAGTTAAGATTTCATATAGTGTGAGGTGGAATCCATATTAAGTACCCTCGGCATGTCAGCTTCCAGATATCCTATTGTACCTGTACTGGTGATAATGCTTATGGAGAATTTGATGGAATGGGGATTGGCAGGGGAAACCAAAGTACTCAGGGAAAACATGCCCCAGTGCCACTTTGTCCATCACAAATCCCACTTGACTAGACTGCAGCGGTGGGAAGCCAGCGACTAACCGCTTAAGCTATGGTGCAGCCTTTGAGATAATATTGGTGAATTTGGTGATAGCACTGGTATAACGTTTCACTGTAGCCTCTACAATGGAACATGTGCAGTAATATTATTACTGCAGACATTAATGTGCATACTCAGACTGTAATTATGATATGCTGTCACAAAATTAGGCATTTAGATACTACTTTTCTAGCACTTACAGTTGTCCTCATGTATACAAGCAGACATGCCACTTGTCATCTTATTAGATGATAGTTTGTGATTTGTATTGTCAACCTATAATCTGATGGGACATATTGAACCACTAATAATGTAATTTAAATCAAATTTCATTGTGTTATGTATGGTGCAGTTGCAGTGTTTAAATTGAATGGTATCTGTTAGAACTGGTAACCTTAAATGAATCCCAAATTTATTAACAGGTTAGGAGGATTTGGTAAGTTAGAATAATTTGTGGTAAGTTTAGTAACAATAAATGTTTTCATATTCACAGTACAGCAGTGGATGAAGGCCATATCATCTTGTTGTATACTTAATGATCAAGATGCTCCCACATGATTAACTATTGGTAGTTGTCATGTTCATTCCTAGCAGTCACTCTTTTTTAAACAAAATCTTTTATATTCACTTACTCACTCATGGAGCTGAGTCCTTCTTGAGAGGCTGCCAATTGTGCAGCTACTCAAGAACTTCCCGGCATTTTATGGAACCTGAAGGTTCATTTCCTTGTTCACAAGGGCCCTCCACTGGTCCCTCTCCTGAGCCAGATCAATCCAATCGATCTCTCTAAGATCCATTTTAATATTGTCCACTCACCTACATCTTGGTCTTCCCAGTGGTCTCCTTCCTTCCGGCTTTCCCACCAATATCCTATATGCATTCCTCTTTGCCCCCATTTGTGCTACATGCCCTGCCCATTTCATCCTCCTTGACATGGTCATTCTAATTATACTTGGAGAGGAGTGCAAGTTATAAAGCTCCTCATTATCTTGTATATTCAGCAAACGTTTAATCTATATAATACTGTCATGTCCAAACCTGAAGGTGGAATACCACTGAAGGCAATGCCGTGCCATTGGACACAATCATGAGCCAGTTCCTCATATTCTCACAAGCTCTTTCACAGAGATTGATTTCCTTCATATGCCACCTGGAACATTCAAAACAATCTATCCATTTCTAGTGCCTTTTTGCAAAATACCCAAGCTGAAGGATCACCTCTTGTTGGCTGTTGGGGCTCTTTCCCTGTGGGTAAAGTGGCATAGGCGTGGAGCTTACCTCTCACCCACCTAGTGCTGAGTTTGAGAAGGGTGGAGCTATACCTGCACTCCTCCATATGTCTTCATGGCATAGTGCATAACTAATTAAGCACAGGGACAACTTTACACCTTTTTTTTTTTTCTTTTCTATGTACAACCTGAAGACATTCCATGCTGTGATGGCATTTTACAGGATTGTAATATAATCCTTTATCAAAATGTTGCTCCCCCCACAAGTAGAATAGAATCGTACTGTGAGGTAATGATTTTTGATACTTTACTGTCCACTGTCCATAACAACTTATTCTCTTTGATGTCAGTTCATTCACTGCTCACACTGCACAAACCTCTTTGACTTCTGTGTCCTGCACTAAATTGAACTGAACATTAATGGACTTACCATCTGACAGGCACGTCACCAGTATAGAAGACTGTAGTATATTTGTGGGCAACCTCGCTCATCCTCATCAGTCAAGTGGTTTCCTGAACATTTCAGACATGACAAGAAATGCACTCAGGCTTGGTGACATGATCTCCTATGCTCATCTCCCATGGCACTGTTACCTCCTCAAGGCTGCTACTCCCAAGTTGCCCCTTGATGTGGAACCAGTCTGTCCAAGTGTACCACCACCACCATCATCATGTACATCATTAACTGAGTTACCGCCTCATAAGGATCTCTTCAGGATGGTGACAGCTTACTCTGTTTCCCTCTAACCTGGTTGGGAGATTCAACCAGATTTAATCTCCTTCCAGGAATCTTGTGGAGTTGGCTGTGAGGTCACAGTGGGCCTTTATCCTATCTTTTGGCACCTTCAGATGTTGACAGGCATCATGTTGGATATCATGCGGCTGTTTCACAAGGTCTCTCATATAGTTGGTCATGGGGCTGCTCCTTATGCGAGAGAGCTCTAAAGAGCAAGCCTCAAAGAAGACGTAGCTGTCTTCTGAACACTGTGCTGGCAAGTATCCTGCTTGTGATCTCATGGATTGGTGCTGTGTAGGTCAGCAAGAAGGAGGATATTTTCTCATCCCATTCTCTTTGACATGTTGAAACAACCTTCCCCGGATGTACATTCATGTTTTAATGTATCATTCCACCATGCCAAGTGTGGATGCATAGGGGTGGTCTGTATTGTGCAGATTCCCAGGCTTTGTAATACCTCTTGCAGAAGTCATGACCTGAAGTTCCAGCTTTGGTTGCCATACATTTCTGTTAGGACCCCAAGGTAGCAGAAGAGGTTCGTCAGCAGAGCATCAACCACTGTCAGTGCCTCTTAGGTAGAGATGGTATGAACTTCAGATCACTTGGTGGAGTAGGCTGTGGTAATCAGGATGTACAAATTGCTTGTCCAACTCTTTGGGAAGGGTCCAGTGTCTATGGTGATCCTCTCATATATTGCTGCAGTGTTATACTGGTTCATCAGACCTGAGCTTGCTGCACACATCTCACACTGTTGGCGCTTCCTCTTGACATCACTTCCCCCATGTAGCCAGTAGTGCCAATCTGACACTGTCCAAGGTTTTGATGACACATAAATGTCTTCCTGAAGATCCTCCATGGAGCTGTTCCAGTTCTTCCTTCACATTTGTCCGGGGAATAACTATTTGAATTGTTTTAGACCCACTGTCAGTCACCCCACAGTGGCACTATAGCATGTCATTTGTCACTGCTAGAGTGTTCCATTGAGCCCAGTAACTTCTGTAGATGGAACTGTGATCAACTATGTCCCTACACAGGATGCTATCCAGCCTTCACTTCCTGTAGAATTGGTCCCATGTCATTAGCTGCTCCCTTCTTAGAGCAGCACAGTCTGAGCCATCCACAGTGTCAGCAGCAACAGCTCATATATTGAGGCTGCCTGACTGCTTTTCAAATTTCTTGGCATGAGCGCTTGCTCCTGGGCAAGATTTGTACTGCTGGAGACATTGGAACCACTGTGCTATCTTTCCTTTCAGATACTGGAAATTAAGGTTTCCAGTAACTAAGGTTAGGCTGGTGTGGTCAGTGCATGTAAAGGTATTTGTGGAAGTATTCTTTTGTCTTCACAATAGCTAGTAACACCTGTCAGGTCATGCAGTATTTCTTCTTAGCCCTGGACAGGGTACTGCTGTAATAAGCCACTACATGCTCCTGACTCTCCTGCACTTCTAACAGCAGATCAGTTCCCACAGTACTCTCATTCTTGTCAACACTGAATTCCACCTCTGGCTGTGGGTAGTCACTGATGGGTGGCATATACAGCAACTCTTTCAAAGACTGGAATATAGCGTCTGCTTCTGGAGACCACTGAAAAGTTTGTGCATCTACTCTAGGTTCGGTCAGCTGCTTTGTGACGTCCACAATTCCAGCTGTGAACCTCCTGTAGTAGCTGTATAGACCAGGGAAACTCCCAAGCTTCTGTTTGTTTCTTGGCCACTCCCTTACTGTCTGCATCTTCTCTGGGTCTGTTGTCACTCTGTCAATATGGTGTGTCCCAGGTCCCATACCTCATTCTGGAATAGTTGGCACTTAGGGGGTTTAGTTCAAGATGAGCCCCATAGAATCTCAGGACCACCTTCTTTAGGTTATCAAGCTTCTCATGGAATGTGAAACCAACATGATCACATCATCAAATACACTTCATAAGTGAAGTCCCTCACACTGGATCCCATCAGGCACTCAAACATTGCTGGAGTGTTGACGGGGCCAAGGGGTATGTCTGTGAACTTCCACAGTCCTGAAGTGGTAGAAAATGTTGTCTTCTCCTTGTTTCCAGGGTGCAGGGCAGTGTGCCCATATCCTCTCTTCAAGTCCAAAGTTGAGAATCATTTGGTCCTGGTAAGCACATCCAGGGTGTCATCCATTCTTGGTATTGAGAAGCAGCCCTTATTGGTAATGCCATTTTGCTTTTGGCAGTCCACACGGAACTGAAGGTCTCTGTCCTTCCTGAAGAGTGTGATAGGTAAGGACTAACAGATGACTCACACTTTGGACTCCTTTACCAATGTGTCAGGCATCTGTTAGTCCTTACCTATCACCTTACCTGTCACCATCGTCATTATGGTGGTAAACGCTAATCGCTCCATCCATATCCATTATTCTTCATTTAAAAGTGTACTGGAATCCATGGATTGGCACTTCCAGCTTTTGGAGCTCCACCAGTGTTCAGGTTTGGTTTGGCACTAGACACCAACTCTTGAAGTTGTTCATACAGCCCAGGAGTCCCTGGAGTTTGGAATTCCAAACCATTAACAGGTACTGCCCATGCAACTGATCCTCAGTGACCCAAGGTAGCATTTTCTGCCAGTGCCTGGTCTCAGTTGCTCACATTTGTGATTCTGACATGTAGCTCTTGTCAGGCTTGAACAAACACTCTGACTGTGTGCAGTCTTTCTCAGTTGGAAGTTTTCAAAACTAGTTTCACTATGCTGTTCAACCAAATTTCTGTAGCTCACTTCACCCTAAAGTCAGCTCCACTAGTGCCTCTTTCAAGACAGAGAGGTCCACCCCAGTCGCTGTCTGCAGAACAAATGATCACTTGACTTCCTGTCAAGCAGTCCTGCCATGATATCAGACCTGGTCATGGCCACAGACATCACAGTGCTGATGGTCCAAAGCTTGACTTGTCTCATGCCCTCAGTGATTAGGCTGTCATGTTGAGTGTGAAGCAAGGGGATGAGGTTGATGATGCTGATGACCCCCACTTAATGCCATCCCTAACATGTTACCTGAGTCCTAATTGTCCTCTTCTCAGGCATTCCATCTCGTCAGGTCTTTGACAACAGTATCTTATTAAGTAACCAGTGTCCCTAAATTGTCATTGTATTGGTCATCCAGTACTGTTAATTGTGGTTAATTGTGGCTGGTTTCCCATCAGAGCTATAGTCTTTACCTCCAGTTGTCTTCCTGCTGTGTTTACAGTCTGTAGCATCATTGCCTGGCTGAGGGATTCCTTGAGTAACGTATCCTTGTCCTACACTGCATCGATGAAAGCAGCATTGGTTGCTTCTCTCTGAGCAAAACTCCTGGTTAACTGGACAGTGACTTAGTGGGCTGCACATTTGGGTCCTGGCTTTGAGTTGAGACTGGGAGGCCACTGTGCCCTGAGAGTGCCTTCATGTGTTGCCACAGATGGAACATTGCACAGGATGTCAGCAGCTTGCCCCAGCAGAATGGCAAGTAGATGCATGGTCTTATTATGGGCCATCCAGCTATTGTGATGAGCCACACCACTGAACTGTCAGACAAATATTGCCCATGATGTGGATCCATCAAACATAGACTGTCCTGCAACAGTGGTGCTTCTCCCTGCCTTCCTGCCATCTATGCCTCTTATTTAGGCTACTTCTTCTGTCAACTACTCCATGAACTTCTATGTGTGGCTTCCAGGTCATGTTGAGTCACCTTCACATCTCATGTCGCTACTGAACTCCCTTGAATATTATGGGCCTACAGTTTGACCACTGCTATGATGTCCTTCAACTCTTTGCCCAGCTTGACCACTGTTCTTCCTTTGAATTTGCTCTGGCCACCCTGGATGGCTCTTATTTCCCTTTTGAGTTGTTCTTGACCAGTTCTCAACATATTTAACTGCTCCAGAATTGTTTTCAATGCTGGATACATATTTGATCCATCATCTGACACCAGCTATGATGTTTGTCAATGTTCAGAGCAATTACTGTCCTACTGTCCGTAACCACTTATGCTCTGATGTCAGTTCTCTGTTCACTTGTTCCTTCACAGCACTGCCATTTTTCCCTCACTGCACTCACCCCCTTCTCTTGAGTTCCCTGTATGGCACTCTAATGCACTAAACTGAACACTGGCTGACTCACTGACTCTTGTAGGCATGTCACCTGTTGGGAAGAATCTAGTGTGGTTACAGGAGACCTCAGTCATCCGTGTCAGCCAAGCAGTTTCCCAAACATTCCCCAGGCAACACAATCCCACCACCGTCAGCTCCTGTAACACTATATCACACTATATCACATGTAGACATGTGCTTAGTGGACAAGGTTCAGCCATTGAGGGTGTTTGAGTTGTTTGCACATTAATCCCCTTTTATACCTTTGGAAAGAAAGTATCAGTGCCTGACCTAAGAGTCCAGCTCTCAGTCAATAGCCTATTTCCAGTTCCTTGCTAATGATGCTTACCAACTCTTCCGCCTCAGAAATTTAATTTTTCAATTTGTCCACTTGGTTTAATAGACTGTCTGTTTCCTTTGTCAGGAACGATCAGAATATTTAAGGAAGTGGTATGATGTTCTGGTCAAGCATCATGAGGATCTAGCAACACTCATCACTGCAGAAGCAGGAAAGCCGTGGAAGGAAGCCCATGGGGAAGTTTCGTATGGCAATTCATTTGTGGAATGGTTTTCTGAAGAAGCTAGAAGGACTCATGTAAGTGTCAGGGAGACTTATTTACATTAAATTCATCTCCTTCATGTCATAAGTTCTTCATTATCTGCTTTATAATGTATTGAAGCTGTCAGTGCAAAAAAATAATTTTGGTCATTATTTTGTGCCTCGTTAATGACTGTATGAAATTGTTGATACACATATTTGAAGGATGCAGGAAATGAAGTTAAGGATTATTGCATTTTGAAATGTGATAAATGAAGTGCAATGTTATGCAAAACTTTTACAGAATATATGAAACTCATGATTGAGAGAAAAATGTAAAATGCCATTTTATATATATATATATATATATATGTGTGTGGTTTTTTTTTTTGAGGGGGGCTTATGTCTGTTCTGTTGGCTAATTCTCCCATGCCAAGTCATGGTCTAGAAATCAGCTAATGCAGAAATTCATTATTCCTGGAGTAAGACCTTTGGAATGAAATATTGTAAATGTTGTTGCATATTGTAATTTGTCTTGCTGCAGGGTGAAATTCTTGCCAGTCCCACACGTACGAAAGAAATGATTCTGATAAGGCAGCCAATAGGAGTTGCTGCATTGATTACACCAGTAAGTATAAAACTGAACTTTTAAATTATATTGTTTACAGTACGAATTTGCTGTTCTCAGGTGTTAGCTGAACATACTGTGAATGAGGTCATAAATCTTGAGAAACATCTTATGTATTGCCTTTCTCAGTTGGAAAGGATTGTAGGTTTATTGCAGTAGGGGAAGGTGGGATTGTTACAAATATATGTATACTCCCAAGAATGCATGTACTGATATTTTGGTTTGGTCATTTTGAGAGTTCTTTTCGTTTTCCTGCAGCTTTTTTAAAATTAAAGATTTTACATGAGTAGAGCTCAGTGATAGCTAAATCTCCATGTGCATAGGACATACACAGACTCAAACATTCCTCTCAGTAATTCCAAGCACTCTGTGAAAAGCCTTTTTTGTCCTTTTTCTTGGTCTCTGTAACCTTGTGCCTGCAACTTGTACTTTGCTGTGGGATTTGATAGAATTTAGACAGTGATGTATATATACTGCACATAGCAGTGTATATTAGTGCTTTTCAGTGATCTTTGAAATTACATGTTCCATTAATCTTTGTCCTGCAGCCGATGTGATAATGATTTCCTTCTGTGTAATAATAAGTTGAAGTTTATTTGGTTTGCAGTGGAACTTCCCAATTGCAATGATAACAAGGAAAGCAGGTGCAGCACTTGCAGCTGGATGCACATGTGTTGTCAAGCCTGCTGAGGACACACCTCTCACTGCTCTAGCACTTGGACACTTAGCAGAAGAAGCAGGTCTACCCAAGGGAGTGTTCAATGTGATAACGAGTAGCAGAACAAATGCACCTCAAGTGGGAAAACTTCTCTGTGAAAGTCCACTTGTGGCTGGGATATCTTTCACTGGTTAGTAACATCAGCTGATAAGATTGCATCCACTATCTATGTAACACTCTGGTAGCAGAACACAAAAGTTCGAAACCACTAATACCAAAGTCAACCATTGGACATGATGCTGAGTAAGTTCCATCCATCTCCCATCCTCACACACCTACTTCCCTATGGTCTATTATTCTTCTTAGTGGCTGTTTCCAAAGAGATTTTCTGATAAAAATACTATTTGTATTTCTTGTCTCCCCATCGTAGCTACATGTTCAACCTATCACAACCTACTAGAGGTGACTAATTTGAGAGTACTAGGTGGCATGTATAAATAATTAAATTTCTGCTTATGTAATATTCTAGTGTCCTCACATCGCCCATTTTAGTTCCAGATATTTTCCTGCACTCTTTGTTCTTAGGTATACATTTTATATTCTCCCTCGAAGTAAGTGCCCGCACTTGACACCCGTAAAAACACCAAAATTGTTTCTTATATCCTCATCTCCTCTTTTGCGCTGATCATGTGACACCTTCTATCCGCAAAAGTTGGGACTAACTTTGCCGATAAGAGGCTGTCGCTCGGTCAGTATAGTTCATTTGCAGACTACAGGCCATGGAGTTTATCCTCATCTCCATCCCCTTGGAATGTAGCATGTGGTGTAAGAACAGTACCAGGGTGTATGATTTGAGGTTTTCCTGATTGTATCAAGTGTGTAGCCATCTGGGTTGTGGCACTATGTAGTTTGATAGATGAGTACCACTTTGGAGGAACTTGCTGCCTACCTTTGGTATTTGTAAAACTACACAGAGTCAGATTTCAGAACATCATAAGCATAACACATAGGTGGTTCTGGCTGCCACTTGCACAGTAGTTTGAATCTGAACGTTGAACCCATTGTTACTCTTTTCAATAATATGGTAGTGTTTTATTTAACATACACATTAATTGCTGTAGCAGTCAACACTGGCCTGGTATAAACCCTGGATGGATGGATTGAAAGAAGACAGACAGTTATCTGCCAACCAGTCTGCATAACATGGTTGAGAAAAAAATGAGGTGAAAGACTGAATGAATCAGTAAATATGCACTTGCTTCTGTTTAGTCAGGTTTCAAGCTCATCACCATATATGTATACTGGTAAAATGAAAACAGTAAATTTATCGTCACTGTCACAACTTTTATGCTACTCTGTACTCACTGATGTAAATAAAGTCCGTAACATAAGGGTAAGTGGGGTAGTTCATCCAGTGTAGTGACTAGGCTGTGGGCTGGATGACTGAGGAATCAGGCCTTAGTTCCTGGCAGAGGCAGGAGATTTTTTCCTCTGCTCTTTAGCACTCACACAGGCTCTGGGGCCCACCCAGTCCCTTGTACAGCAGTAAAGGGGGCTGTTTTCTTGAGGGTGAACCTGACCACTAACCTCCACATCTAATGCTGAGGTTCACAATAGTGGAGTCTTACCTCTGCTCCCCCATATGTTTTCATAGTTGGGTGCTTGACAGGAATAGTAAATTCACCTTTGTTTAAACTTTATGTTAGATACTGAAACTGTTTAAGAAATTTGTGAATCTTTGTTACCACAAATCTGTGTCGTTTGCCACTTTAGTTGGGTACACTTCCTCAGACTTCTGAGCTCCAAATTTATATTATTCTCTTATTTGTATCGGTCTCCCAAGTTGCCTCTTTCTACAGGATTTTTTAATCAGAGATTTATAACCATATAAGTATTCTACTAGACATCATACTTGACAGACTTTGATCAAACTTTGTTTGTCAAATATCGGTGCGTGTGTGTGTTAAACATGCCACACCAGTATTGTGTTGTTCCAGAATGACATTTTTTATATCCATTCCATAACGAAAGGCAGATAGTCATGTTAATCATCATAAGAGTAGTCAGTAAAGAGTTCGTATGTATTACATTTGAGGTTCTCATGGCAATGAATATAAAGATTATGAGCTTGTGGGATATGATATGATCTAATTTGGTAGCTTGGTACACTTCTACCAAACTGTATAGCATCATATCCAAAAGGGCCATAATCTTAGTAAATACTGTATAATTTTCTGCATTCTTCAGGATACTGTGTAATGAGGAGCTTCATGACTTGTACTCTTCTCCAAGTATAATTAGAATGAGATGGGCAGGGCATATAGAACGAATGGGGGGAAAGCAGAATGCATATAGAATATTGGTGGGAAAGCCAGATGGAAAGAGACCACTGGGAAGACCACGACATAGGTGGGTCGACAGTATTAGAATGGTTCTTAGAGAGATGGGATGTGATGGTATGGATTGGATTAATCTGGCTCAGGATAGGGACCTGTGGAGGGCTCTTGTGAACGTGGTAATGAACCGTCAGGTTCCATAAAATGCTGGGAAGTTCTTGAGTAGCTGCACAATTGGTGGCTTCTCAAGAAGATCTCAGCTCCATGAGTGAGTTGTGTGATTCATCAGGTAAGGTCAAAGTCTTAACCTTAGCTCCCCCTCAGATGTCACTGTGTCTTACTAGTAAAATTATCTGTACATTAAATATTTTTATAGGTTCAACTGCAGTTGGGAAATTACTATATAAACAGAGTTCATCTGGTGTTAAAAGGTTGGCATTAGAACTTGGTGGAAATGCTCCATTTATAGTCTTCAACAGTGCCGACATTGATAAGGCTGTTGAAGGTGCAGTTGCATCAAAATTCCGTAACTGTGGGCAGGTGTGTTTCACTTATCTTCTATCATACACTTTTGATATAGAATTTAGAATATAGAAATTAATTAATTACATGAAGCATAATGAGCTTACAGTTTAATTTGCATGTATAGCTAGTCATTCTGGTTTGTTTTCATGCTGTTAACAAAAGTTTCTCCAGTGAAATTGTACGGTATAGTAATTGGGATGGTAGTGATTTTAGCATTGTTTTATGTCGTCACAGTTGTCTTTCCAAATCAGTCTCGATAGAGTATTTTACTTTGCATGAAAAGAAGGAATTCTGTCTGCTGCATAGTCCTGTGTTTTGCTTTCATGTTTGGTCGTTTATGACACAATCTTATGTTTAAATTTGTAGTATACAAAGTTTTTGGTTCTATAGAGCAACACAAAATAATACTGAACAGGTTGGCTTGGCATTAGCATGGCTGACTCTTGTGTGGAAGTTACCTGAGCTACATCCCACCTTTGTACTGGCTATTGAAACCAGTTTTCTTGGGTTTCCTAAGTCCTCTTATGCTAATTTTGGGATAGTTTCTTAAAGTAAGCCATGTCCAGTTTTCACGTAAATTACTATTCACAGTAGAATTAATTTCTAAGGGCAACAGGGACTGTATGACTCATTTTAATTCAAAAATAAGGACTGTAAAGGTAGGGATTCCACAAGGGTCAACCTTGGGCCCGTTTTTGTTTTTGATTTACATAAATGACCTACCCCTCCGTATAACTAACAGGGAAGTGGTGCTGTTTGCAGATGATACCAGTATACTGGTAATAGAAAAGAACAAAAATATTCTTCAAGACAAAATAGGTAAGATAATGAAGCAACTCGAATCTTGGTTTTCAATGAATAATATGTTAATAAATAATGAGAAAACTACAGCAATGTATTTCCATATGAATAAACTATAAGATAGCATTGAGCCAGTAATTACCTTTAAAAATATAATAATTAATTATACAGCATAATTTAGGTTTCTTGGTATTAACCCTTATTGGACGAACGTCATCATATGATGTCGTTAAAAGTTAGGGCAGCTGGCCGAACATCATCATATGATGTCGCGCATTCCACGCGTGTAAAGATTTTTTTAAAATTAAATTTAAAATATAAATTGTTGTTCTATTTACATGATTTTTGGTCACAACCTTTATAAGGTGACAGCCTTCCCTCCTGTGTGATCTAATGCAATCTACCGACGTCATATGGCCGAATGACCTCATATGATTTTGCACATTGCACGCGTGTAAAGATTTTTTTTAAATTAAATTTATGCTCTACTTACGTGATATATGTTCACCATCTTCATGAGGAAACAGCCTTCCCTCCTGCGTCATCTATGGTAATGTGGCCTTCGTATGGTACTGCCAAAAACATTCCGAAATGCAGAGTCCGGCGTCGCACCTCACGCACTTCGTACGAACGCTAGACCGCTTCCCACGCGAAGAACACACACGACACCTCAGTTGTGATTTAGAGGAAGCAGGCCAGTGATGTCAGCGGGCTTCCTCTAATCGTTTTACTAANAATTTCGCGCCACAGGATGACAACAAGATGAAGCTGTTCAGAATTGTCAGATCCAGGAGATGGAAAAATAGTTTATTTGTCCATTTCCAGGTCTGACGACTGATGCTGTAACTGTTTGTCATTCTGTCCGCTTTGTCGACATAACCCATGTGCGTGTTATAATCCACAACAACTGATGATTTGATGGCATTTCCGTGCTCATCACAGAAACTGCCTTCTGCTGGAGGACAGTGCATGTTTGTCAGTATGTGTACGTCACGTTTGTCCTTCCAAACTAGTGCTGTCAAGTTCCGTCTCACCCTAACACGAATGTCACCTTTCTTCAGTCGAAATTGTCTTCGTCGAAAATCGTCAGGCAAGCCCTTCCGATTAGGTCTGACTGTCCCACAGCACGTTATGTCCTTTGTCATCAGGTCGTCGAACAAGTCTGGTGACGAAAAGAAATTGTCCATGTACAGTTTGTGACCTACGCCCTCAATACGCCTGCATAGGTCCCTAACTGTAGCATGTGTCGCTGTCACGTCTTGGCTGGCACGTTTCCTGTCTTTTCCTAAGTAAACTTTCATGTCATAGGTATACCCAGCGGCGTCACAAATTTTGAAGATTTTGATTCCGAAACGTTTGTGCTTCTTAGGGATGTACTGTCTAAAAACCACCCTTCCCTTGAATTTAACTATTATTTCGTCTATGGCCAAATGTTCGGAAGGGTTATAATATTTTTGATATGCGTCATTGAGAGTGTCGAAGATGGTCCGAATTTTCCATAGTCGGTCATAACTGTCGGCATTCCTGTCAGTTTCTGTACTGTTGTCTGCAAAATGTAGGAAACAAAGAATGTGAAGAAAACGGTAACGTTTCATTGTGTTAGAGTAGTAAGGCGTGGCAAATTGTTCAGCAGTCGACCAGTAGTCCTTTAGTGTGTCTCTAATGTCATGTCCCATTTGAATGATTATTCCTAGAAACAGAAACATCTCGGATTCAGTTACGTCAGTCCGCGGAGATGGTCCGTCTTCAAGTCTGTCTAGGTACTGGTGATAGTACCTATTCGTCTCTTCCACCAGCAGATGGATAATCCCCGCAAAGTACAGCATGAAAACGCAGAGAGGGGTGGAATCCTTATTCACATGTGGAGCTGCAGTGATATTTATCCCCGCAGCTACACCGGAATAATTATTCACACCTCTCCAGCCACACTGGTCTGGCGGTCCCCAAGTTGCCAACGAAGGTGATGACCCTTCGTCCGCAGAATCAGAACTCCAACTTTCCTTGCCACTCTCAGAATCGGTTGAATAGCAGTCCGAATCTGTGTCATTGAACAGCTGTTTCTCAATTTCAGCATCTTCCATAGGACGTCGTCATGTGGCCATGGTGAATTATACGGCTCTCTGGCAGTGAATGGTTTACTGCCAGCACAGTGCTTAGACCATGACCAGAAGCCATAAATCGCGCCCACACGTACAAAAATCTCATTCACGACTTGGCTGAACCCAATATCTGCTTCGTGATGTCATGGGTGGCTAACCTTATATTGCGATATTTCAAAATCGTTACAAACACAATGGTTTGACTGCAGTGAATGAACGAATGACTGATCTGGCAACACCATATTCTGAGAATTAACTCCTGTGTCTTTCTCACACATTACACAGAGAGCGATTTCAGACGCCTACAGTCGTGCATACTGATATGTCCCATACGATAAATAAGCTTCAACAAGAGACACCATTGAATGTGAAGTCACCACAGGGACTACACTGCTAAAACGCATGGTGCAGAAAATATATTACACTGCTAGAACGCATGGTGCAGAAAATGTATGAATTTCGGGAAATTTTTTTGGGGGAATCAGCGTAAAAAATTTTTACAGATATTAAAATCTGTAAATTAGAATATCTGATTCTATATTCTTTCTACATTAAAGGAGCATTCATTTTGTTCGTTTATCATAAAAAATGTAGAAATCACACCATTTTTAGAAACATGCTTATAATTTCATTGCTCTAGAAGGGCGGGCATTTAAATAAACTCCGTCCAGCTGCCCCTACCGGAAATTAAATGGCCCATCCGATAAAGGGTAATTTAACCCACAAATTAAAGTGGAACATTCATATTCAGTCGGTCTATACAAAGCTCAGTAAGGTGTGTTACATTATTAAAGCTTTGAAAGCGAAGTAAGCCCATATGTCCTTAGGAATGTGTACTTTGCTAAATTCCAATCTCAAATGAGTTATGGTTTGATATTTGGGGGGGGGAGAAAGTGAAAGTAAAAAAATTCTTATTTTTCAAAAAAAGGGTTCTTCGAATAATGAAAGGTGTAACAAAAAGAACATCATGTAGACCTATATTTAGATAATTAAAAATTTTAATGGTAACATCTGTGTATATTTTAGAAGTGTTACATTATTTCATGAAATATAACATTTATGCCACAAAAAAATCTGACCTACATAAATATGACACGAGAAAGAAAGAAGACCTTCACGTGCAAAGTTATCATACCTTAACATATGAGAGGGGCGTTACAAATATAGCTGTTAAGCTTTATAATAGACTGCCTTTGGAACTAAGAATGGTAAAAGCAGATAGAGAATTCCTACATAGACTCAAAAGATATTTACTGAAACACCCATTGTATAATTTGCATGAGCTCCTCTCAGAAGGACAGTTAAACGAATAAGATTCTCCATGATAAATAGATTTAAGTGTAAATAAAATGACTAGTAATTAGATGAAGTTTTTAATATGATTCAGCCTATAAAGGGAATGGAAGTCTTAAAAGAGATTGCACTCCAAATTATTTTATCATTTATCAAATTATTTTTAATTTATCTAAATTGAATTTTATCTTATGTGGATTATATTGATATAATAGGTTTTAAGTTTAAGAATATGACGGTGGTAATTAAGATATATATAGTAAGATGACCTTGTTTTTTATAATGGAAGGTAGTCGTAAATTTGATTGTACCTAATATATTTTAACTATACCGAGAGTGTGATTTTAATTGTAATTGATTGTTATGTTATGTGATATATGATGACATTCAATCGATTGGGCAGGAGGCCAATTAGACTGGAAAAGTTGTATATGTATGTGACTCGTTTGAGTGTTACAGTTTGTAACTGTGATGAATGTTAAATAAAATGATTATTATTATTATTATTATATCATCTGACTCATCCTCATCATAATCTAAGTAACATCTGCATTTTTCCATCATAAAATAAACAGAAACAAAGAATTGCATGCCAATACATATGGACATCCAGTGAATTAATATTTTTGTATGTTTTTGTCTATGGTTTCCTATGCTGATGGATTATATATTTTGGTTAATGGCTGTTTAAATTTGTTTTCCCAATTTTCAGACATGTGTCAGTGCAAATCGTTTTTTGATTCAAGATGAAATATTTGATCTGTTTATTGAGAGAATATGCAATAAAATGAAGACTCTTGCAATGGGTTTTGGAATGGATCACTCATGCTCTTTGGGGCCCCTCATCAACACAGCTCAAGCTCATAAGGTGAGGCACTGCACAAATTTTTTCACTGGGTGATTTTTGTAGAAGTGAGGATAGGTCAGTAGTTGGAAAACCATAAAATACTCGATGCATCTTTAGTTTACATTTCAATCTAAAACTGTCTCGCCCATATAAGTAATACATAGTACCCAGATATTAACAGTACAGTGCAACACAAGAATAAAACAGTTGTGAAGGGTGATCACAACCACTACTAACAATGCTTGTTTTGTTTCATTTGTTGTCTAAAAGATATTTATTATTTTCCTGTCAACACAACACTATTTTCAGCAGGTGGGATTTCTATCTAGGACATGTTTTAGCACATGTGTGCCATTTTCAGGTTCAGTTTTTAATTACTAGGGTTGTACTGAACACTGGACTAATGTACACATACCAAAACATGTCATCCTAGACAGCAGCTCCACCTGCTGGGAATAGTGCTCTTTTGGCAGGAATAAAATGAATATTAACTGTTAACAACACTACATGCTATAACCTGTGTTTATATAAACTATTTTAATTATCTACATATGAGGAACTTATTCCTGAAGTTATGCTGTGTATTTTTTAAACATTCTATATATTGTACTTCTATAATTGACACATTTTTTACCCAAAAAATTTGGTCTGTATGTTATAGTGCACAAAATTTGAGTACAGTTCTGAATGGGGTGATTCACCTCCAACTATTGCTGAGGTCAAGAAAATGTGGCTGTATACATCCATTCCCCCATACGCCTTCATGGCATAGTGCCTAATTAGTTAAGCACAGGGACAGCTTTACATTTTACAGTTGAATGCAGTGTGGCTGCATGATAAGATTCTACAGACAGTGCCACATGATTCCATGATGAGCATTGATAAAATTTTGTGTCTGCACATACCTTTCATGAAAAGACGATCAAAGTTGAATGCAGCATGGTAACATGTACTTACAGTCTTCACCATACAATTCTGTGATGAGCATTTGGACATAAGTTCCACTTGATAAAATTTCTAGTGACACAGTGTGATTAAAATTGAATGTGAAGTGGTAACATGGCATGGATATTCATGTGTATGGACACCACTGTGCAGTTCACTGGTGCACATAGAGAAGAAAATGTCCATTGATAAAATTTTGATTGACACATAATTTTTACAGAAAATGTGATTAATGTTTGATGTAGTGTGGCATTATGGTATGTATATTTGTGCCTGTGATTGAATGAATGAATGAATGGATTAAGGTTAATTCACACATAGCAAGCTATGCACCGACTGTGCACTGACTGTGTCATTTTGAACGGAATTGCTAAACGGTAGTCTGCATTTGAAATGTACTGCATAGGTTTATGTAATTCAGACATGCTGGACTGGGCGAAGACTGTGTTCCAACTCTTTCAAAAGCGATTCATCAAGGTCGTGGCTCAACACAGCTGGCGCACAGCCCTGTATGTGTGAAGAAGGAAAGGGCGCCCACTGGTCGCCCAGCACTATTCGGCAGTTTCGTTACAGCACATCTTTGTGCCGAAGCGGAGCGGAGCATTTATTTAGTTCAGTGCGAGAGAGAAAGTCACAATTAGAACACGTGTATTTTTGTCATTCATCACTATGGATGAAGAAAAACTCATATTATTGGTGCAAGAACATGAATGTCTTTATAACCTCAGCAACCCAGACTGTGATAATAATTTAGTAAAAGAACATTTGGAATGACATTACGAGGCATCTTCATTCTACAGTAGATGACTGCAAAACAAAATGGGCCTTGTTACGTTCATATTACCGATGAGCTTTAAGTCGACGGAGAACAACCATTGGACAGTGAATTTGTGAGTCATAATGCCAAATGCATTTTTGACCACATGACATGCTCTAGAGAGCTTGTAATTGTATATTTGTTTTCCTTCATCGTCACGTGCTGTGCTTCCTGGGTATGACTGTAGTAAATTTCGTCTTAAAGGGAATGCTTCATCTCCAACAATAATGAAAGGATAAGTTTCTGTGGAATTCGGTACAGGTCTTGGCTCTGGAATGTTCAAACGGCTCTCTTCTAAAAGTTTCCCAAAAACTGAATTTGAAAAAATGCCACCATCACTTGACTTACCATACCCTCCAACGTAAACAACCACAAACTTGTAGTTCGCATCTACGAGTGCCAAAAGGACAACTGAAAAGGTTTTTTTATAGTTAAATTAGAGGGATCCACTATTTTTAAGAGCTTGTATTTCAAAGTGCTTCCCGTCAATTGCACCTATGCAGTTGGGGAACTGCCACATTGAATAAAAGTCATCTGCTATTTTTCGCCACATTTCTCCAGTTGGTTCTGGCATTTCTTTTTTGGCCATTGTTTCCCATATAGATTTACAAGTTGGAAATATAATAGAATTTACAGAGAAATTTGCGAGTCTCTTGAACCCAAGTATTTCATTGTTAAAGCTAACCTTTCTTCCAGTGAAACAGATTGCCTCCATTTAGAATTCTGTTTTGTCAATTCTTGTCCCAGTATTTTTAACAGATTTTAAAATTTTCGTACGCTCATACGAAAGTACATGAAGAATTTATCCTGATCATCCTTAAGGCGAGAATATATCATATGAAATTCTCCTTCTTCATCTCTTGCTCTCCATAACTGATGAACCCAATATTTTCTTTTCTTCTTGCAACACAAAATATGCTCCACATGCAGCAATCACATCTTCTTCGTTCTGATCCATCTCTACGAATGAAAAATAAAAACCAGCTACAACACAGTCAGCGACCAGTCCACTATATGTGACTGATGGCAGCAGAGCACAGTCTGCACACGGTCGTTGCACAGCACGCTATGTGTGAATCCAGCCTTAATAAATTAATAAGGGATGGGGCTCCAATATATACATCGTGACCATCAGTGAGAGGCCTGTGTGCTGAAAGAACTGTAGTGCCTCTGCAGTTGAAACATTCCCTTTCACTTCCATCAGGAAGTCTGTCCATGAGAAGTTTGTCATAGATGTGTCTTGGCATCATTTTGTCAGCTGATGTTTGTGGGATGAGTTCTTTTATCATACTATGAGAAATATATGCATGCCCTTATCCTTCGAATTTAGTTTTCCACTGTTCACTGCAGTGTAGTCTGTAAATTGGAAGTGTAAAAGTGGGGGAGAGAGTCCAATGGGGACCTCAATTTCAACTATAGGAGCCATCCTCTTTGCTCCAGTAATACACAGACAACCCTGTTTTTGCAGTTTGCTATGTTTGGCTGTACTTCTTTGAAATCTAACATAGGCAGTGACACAGTGACAGCATAGGTAATTATGCATATGGACTCATCATGCAATTTGTTGATTAACACTGAGCTGAAAATGTCCATTGACGAAGTTTCAGTGGGCACATGATTGTGGTACAAAAGTTCCCCAAAGCATGTTACCCCGTAACAGTGTTAACAGATTAATGCGATTAGGGTTATAAAGTGTGAGACCGTAGAGATCGTTAATTGGTTTATTGAACAATCTACAAATAACGGCTACAATTAATTATCACACAGTTGCGGGGTTTCACACTTTATAACCCTATGCGCAAATCAGTTCACTCTGTCTTCAGTAGTCTACACGTTTACAGTAGGGGAGCTATGTATCACTGTATCACACGCTCCCAATTACACAATCACACACACGTCCGGTTCTTCTATCCGCGACGGCTGCTATACTCCAACTGTAGTCCGCTGACTGGAGAACTGTTGATAACACACTCTCGTAGGCTTGCTCGGAACTATCTTCGGCGATGGCCAACTCGGAAATGTCTTCAGTACAACTGAAGTCGCCGACTGCTACAGTAGAACTCAACTGGTACCTGCTGTGCAGCTCACTTATATAGCTGCAGTGCTTGCCGGTTGCATAATGAGTGCCACGTCACAGTAGGAAGTTGATTACGGGTACGTAGCGTTGCGCGTTACGTCACCGCGGAGGGGAGTGGCGGGGCGGGAACTCGCCTATTACCGTAGTAGCGTGAGCGTTACGTTACCACCACGTACCGCTGGGGAGGTAGGGGTGATCCATAGCTCAACATGTCACACTATATAAAAAACGCGTTCCTTGTTACGACAGAAATTTTTCTTTTGGCATATAACCATTCGTAACAACTGCTGCTACGGAAATTTTTTAAAAGTCCATCATGGCAGCGTAACGCCATCACTAAACACTTCTATAGATAAACGCACCCAGCATGTTGTGGATGATAGCGTTAGTTGTGGCTCGGCAGCTAGCAGAAGCGCACGTCTTGTATACATCATTTAGGCCTAGTCATCTATTGTTTTATCTTATGCTCAAAAACTTCGACGATCAAGATAAGATAGTGTCTTGTTAGCAAGGATTTACTATCAATAAATTCATTCATTCATTATTTAATAAGCAAGTGAAATAAAGTTTTTCATGAAACCGACGCACTATCATTTATGTGCAGTAGTAGCAGTTTGATCTTGTCACACTGAATCAGTAATTTCGTGTTATAGTACATGTGCAACTAACCACCTGAGCTATGGCGCGGCCTCCGGTACTGACTTACACATATTGTACATGCGGAGGTTTCCTCCACATTACGCGTGTCCTCGTGTAACTATAAGAAACGCGTGTGCTGAAGGGTTAAAACTTTTTGAATCACTGTCTTTTTTACCCCTCAGTTGACATCAACTAGAAAACGAATATACCAGGAAGAGTTCCTCAATTATGGGTTTACACAAATAGAAGACAAAGGAATAATGAAACCACAGTGTGTTGTCTGTTTGAAAGTACTGACTGCAGAATCTTTCAAAAAGAGTCAATTGAAGAAACACTTGAATAATTTGCACCCACACCTGTCTTCCAAACCGCGGGAATACTTTGTAAATTTGGAAATGTCTGTCAAAAAACAAAGACTGAACAGCAACTTGAGAAGTACATTCGATCAACGTTCAGCATCAAAGGCCAGCTTTGAAGTGGCCTGGTTGATTGCCCGAAACAAGAAACCACATACTATTGGTGAGCAATTGGTTAAACCAGCAGCTTTGAAAATGGCAGAGATTATGTGTGGTCAGAAAGAAGCTGCGAAACTAAATTCAGTGCCCTTGTCTGCAAAAGTTGTGAAAGAAAGAATTTCTATTTTAGCAGAAAATGTGAGGGAACAAGTTATTTCTTCAATAAAAGAGAGTAAATGCTTTGCTATTCAGCTTGATGAAACTACAGATGTCGGTAGTAATTCGCAGCTGATGGTGTATGTTCGCTACAAAGGTTTACATGCAATTGAAGAGGAGTTGTTTTGTTCTCCCCTCAAGTTGTGATCTCGTGGAATTGATGTCTTCAATAAAATTAATGAATACTTTAATAACGCTAATTTAAAGTGGGAAGATTGCATTGCTTTGTCTGTTGATGGAGCTCCAGCTATGTTGGGTCATGTTAGTGGTTTTTCGGCTTTGGGGAGAGAGAAAAATCCAAAAATTGAAGTTAACCACTGTATGATCCATCGCCGGCCACTGCTTGTGAAATGTCTGGAACCTGCACTGGAAGCCGTCATGAATGATGTTATCAACGTTGTCAAAGGACATGTCAAAGCACTGCTTGTGAAACGTCTGGAACCTGCACTGGAAGCCGTCATGAATGATGTTATCAACGTTGTCAAAGGACATACACTAAACACGCGACTATTTCGTGAATTATGTACAGATGGGGAGGCTGAATATACTCGTACAGACCTACTTTATCATACAGAAGTGAGGTGGCTGTCACGTGGAAATGTTCTGAACCGAGTGTGGGTTCTCAAAACTGAACTTGAAATTTTTATGGTTGATCAAAAGCATGTTCTCGCAGATAAGTTTACAAACTACTGTGGGTTGCACATCTCGCATATTTAGCTAATATTTTTGAGTATGTGAATGCATTGAACAAAGAATTGCAAGGAAAACACATCAATATAATTTCAGCAAGAGAAAAGATTTCAGCGTTTAGATCAAAGCTTTTATATTGGAGACAGAAAGGAGAACAAAACAAGATTGCTGTCTTTTCAAGGTTGGCTTTGTTTTTGGAACACTGTGAAAATATTACTTTTGACGACATCAAGGACACAGTTATAAGGCATCTTACCAAATTCAAAAAGCGGTTCGATGATTACTTTCCAGATCTCGATTCACATAATGTCAGTTGGGTTGTAGATCCCTTTAAATGTGAAATTGCTGATGTACCAGAAGAGCCTCAAGGTTTGGCAGAGGCACTTCTTGAACTTCGATCCAATAATGAAGTACGTATTGAATTTGAAAACAAAGCAGATCTGTCATATTTTTGGATGTCAAGAGCTGCAAATGCTTTCAAAATTGCACATGAGGAGGCAATCAAGAAGTTGCGGCCCTTTGCAACAACCTACCTTTGCGAACAAGGATTTTACACTCTACTGAACATAAAAACAAAGCAGAGAAATCGATTGGACCCCGAAGACAGTATGCAAATTGCTCTGACATCAAAATGTCCCGATTTTGGTGTTATTGTATCAAAAATAAAACAACATCATT